TGGTTGCGATTGAGGCATCGTCAGAAACGCTGATGTGAAGTGCTGCCACCAATTAGCAGCGCGGAGCCAGCCCGAGGGCAGAGTTTAAGATGTTCATTCATTTGAATAGACATTCGGGTGATTTTTTCTCAATCGCTGACATCAAAGGATTCCCTTACGAATGGTGCCGTCGAATCTTTTGCCACGCGTACATGTGATGTCACGGTGAAAAGATCGAGAACCCGAGACTTGGGTCTTTCTTCCGATTCCCAAGATAGCACCGTAGGGATAGCGAGAGTAGCACTGGCGGTCTTTTGTGAGCGCTAAATCTCGCAGCGGTGAAAACAGGATGAGTGATCACACGGAATCTTGTTTGAGGTTTAAGAGGCAACACAGTTAAAAGACCAGACACGGGCAGCCTCAGGCTCCGCAACCCTTTAAACGAACCGTCTTCGGGTCGGGCAACAAGTGGCTCCACGTCACTCTTATTTGAGGACTTTCAGTTAGTAACGTCGGTCAGATCCAGCCGGCTGTTTTGAGATCACCCGCGTTGGCTAAACAGTTTCAGGGGCAATCGGAAGAGCTTATCTTGGAATGACAGTCAAAACCACAGTTTCCGTTCGCGAGCGCAGGCTCGGCAATCTACAAATGGAAAATTACAAAAAGGGCCGCAGCGCATTTATGAGTGTTGCCCACAGCATGTTTTGTAAAATGTACTTTACGGTACATTATGAAGAATTTTAAATGTGACCAACACAAAATTTGTCTGATCCTAAACTCAAACTAAATCCAACCCTTACGACCAACGAACAATAACCCAAAACCCAAATTAAGTCTAACCCCTTTATTTCTCACTGCTGTACATAAATGATGTGCCCTAGGGGCCAGCTCAACTGACTCAGCTCAACTGCCATGTCTGCACCAATCAGCATTAAGCCCTACAGAGATCCATGAAAACGCACAATGCCCAACACCACCCCACCCACCCACCCCCGAGCACACACTCGATATAATCCAATCAAATGTGAATCATGGATCTCGTGTCTTTCTGTGCACAGGCACGGCACTCCGTCCCAAAACAACACGTGCACGCTGGCTTCAGATGGCAGAGGTGGTTGCTGGAAAGCTGCAACAAGAGTTGAGTTTATTGTATCGTGTTTTATTTTTATTTATTTATTTATTTGGCAGATCAGCACATAATGCCACAACCTCGCAAATCATCAATGAAATCATCCCTTCATCATCATGGTGCCCCCACTGCTAATTTAGAGCGGTGACAGGGTCAGGAAATTATGTGGTTTCCTGCCAGGACCTCCAAAGCTCACACGGTGTTAGCAGTTTGGGCTAGGTGCCGATAGCGGCTGGTGGCATAAAGCTGCACCTTAACAACAAACTCACACACGTGGTTAAATGTCACACTCGGAGCAAAAAGATCATGCCGCCTGCCGGGTGGGGATGGGGGGGGGGAAGCTAAAGGGTGAAATATATGAATGGATTGGAGGCAGGATGAGCATAACTCGCTGCATGCTGCCAAAGATTGGAGGCAGCCCGTGTTGCCAAAGATGCCTTGGGCGTGTGGAAGAGATAGTAACTCAGCCTCACTGAACATTAGACTGCATCTCTTCTGCCTGTCTGCCCAACATCTTGCAGCACCGCACAACTTCGTGAAGGACCCCTAGAAATGTCCAAAAGGACCCTAAAATGTGTCTTTTCTGGCATGGCATCTTGAGATTTTATTGATTTATTTATTTATTGCAGGTCAACTTATGATAGACATGTCCAGCAAATTTCAAGTTGTTAAATAAAAGAGGCCTCTGGGACTGGGACGGGTTTGTCATTTGAGGACACCTGGAAATGGCCAAAATGAGCTCAAAGTGTCCGCTTCCTTGGGTTTTTTTTTTTAAGGTTTTTTTTTTTGTGGGTCTCCTCATGATAGATATGGCTACCACTTTTTACATTCCAGGGTAAAACTGGCTGATCGGGGTGGGACAAGTCAGGCTTTCACCCCCAGTGGAAATGCCAAAAGATTACAATGAAGTGACTACGAAATGGTTGATTTCGTTTTTGTGGGTCTCCTCATGATCGACACATCAACCAAATTTTTTATAAAACCAAGTCCTACCAGTGAAAGCCCTTCAAATGGCTCTTTATTTGGGCTCTTTTGGATCCTTGCGCCACATCCAAGTACCAGCGTCACTCCTCCACATGAGCACCAGATTTACAGTTGTCACAAATTGGACGACCTTTCGTGCGGCCAGGCGGATTTCCCCATTTCTCCTTTCAGGAGAAAAAGGCAACAATAGCTTGAAGATGCCAGATTCTGACCGTGCACGCCTTCTGCCAAGCTTCCATCTTTATGCAGGCTAAATATAGCACCATCAAAAGACTAGGCAGGAATAAAAGGAGCAGAGAATGAGGTTATCAGGCTAGCTGAGCTAAAGTTAGACCAAAACACGGGAGCATAAACGCGATACATGATGGGAGTCGAGGCGAATCTCAGTGTGACGCCCTTTGGTTGCCCGGCAACCATTTTGTGTGCACTACACTTGAGTTTGAGGGCAAAGCGGGACACTGGAGGAGGTCTTGTCATGGGTTATATCGTTGATGTGAATATTCAAATGTGTTGGACCATGTATAGAACCCTGCGGGACAACTTTGAAAAGTGGTAAGGGAGGTGGAAGGGGTCAAACTATTTGAAAATGTTTTTTTTACATGCTCTACTATATTTTTATTTTCACCTATTGCGAGTAGCTCTGGAACCTGCCCACCTGCGACCAACGGGGGTTGACTGTATCCATGGAGGTGACCTTCATTAAAACAACAACCCTTGCTTTCTTCCATCCAACCGACACGAAATGTAAATAATAATCCGCTGACGAGGGTCAAGCGAGCGGTGGGTAAGAGAGTCCAAAACAGACGTGGCACACGCGGGGTGTTTTTCTCAGCATGACGGGGGGCAGCTGTGTTTTCACGGCTTGGGCGGCGGTATCTGTGTGGATAATGCAAAAGTAGGGAGGCTGGGTGGGGGTGTGCGGGGGGCTTAGAGATGACGCCCCTTCCTCATTAATGAGGCGAGATGGGAAGCGGAGGGAGGGGCGCTTTATCCCGCCTGGGATGTGTCATTAAGGAAGGGGTGGGGGTCACTCAGTGAACCTTGAAAGTTTGAGCGTGTCGGCGTAAACAACCAGATGATGTCACGGCATTGCCGGTAGATCGCCGCACTTGGCTGATGACATCCCCAGTAAAAAATACCACATTATATTTTGGACATACAAATTCTGTGTCACTTAAAATGTGTTTTTTTTTTTTTTTTTAGCAGCACCGAGCTCTCCTGGAAAAGATGCAGCGTTATAGAGGAAGAGGCAGAGAAGGTTCCCAATAAAAATTGTGTAACAGCGTTAGTTGATTTCACTCACATTTAAGCAACGCCAACTCCTGCCATGGCATGAATATTGAGAGCGCTGTCAGTATTTTAACAAAGCTTACCGATGATCCTTAATGAAGGTTATTGCTTGTCGCCAGGCAGAAGTGCTGCATTTTAACTGACGCCAAAGGAGATATTTATTAGATTTGTGTCTGTGGTGCACTTAAGAGAGAGAAAGCTCATATTCTGACTCTCGTTTGCTGTCCACGCTGAACGTTATTGACGTAAAATGGCTCCCTCGCTGCTTATTAAGCTCCATTTTATTGACATTCATCAACCAAACCCATGTGAGGCACCGCATGCATACGTGAGTTTCTCCGGCTAAAAATGACACCCAGTCACTCACCATTCATAATCGACATCATCGCGGTTATCCGGTTAACAGCCAGCTAACTCCACTGTGACTTGCCGACTCCCATGTCACTCACCAGACCAGGCTTTTGAGCCCACATCCACACCACACACTCAGACACACAGATACTACAGTGTAGAAAATGTGTATGGCGACCTCAAGTGAACAAAAAACAACAACTGCACAGCACATGAATATTAGTTATTGTTTTTTGTCGTCGCTGTCCTGTGAAAAACACAAATATCCATTTGTGTCCGAAATGGGGAAACCACATGAATGTAAAAATGTTAAAAATGACCAAAAATTTGACATACGTGTTTGTCACTGGAGAGCTGGTATTGTTGCTTCATAATCTAAACTCAATTTGCCAGCGAATACTGAGCAATTATAAAAATATTTGATAAATGCAACCCGGCTGCAAACTACTCACAGGAAGGCCGGAGTCTGGATTCAAACCCCCCCAACACAAAACTGTGAGGCAGATATGCGTTCGATTCGATCGAAAACTTGATTGAAACAATGTCACTTGCTTCTTTTTTATTGACGTGGACTGAGATTTTGTTCTAAAGCCATATCGCCCAGTCCCACTAAGAGGATTACGGCGCACACACACACACACACACACACACACACACACACACACACACACACACACACACACACACACACACACGCGCACACACACTTATACATACACACACTTGATTCCATTTTCTGATGATAATCCAAAACATGGCAGCACCACTGGTCTGTCATGACATGCACTGGGTCCAAGCTGCAGCGTGATGATGATTGCAGTGATGTAAGCACTCGGGTCGGCGCAGAAACTTTTCCAAAAAAAGAAAGATTAGGCGCGGGAGCATAAACGTCTCTTTGTGCGGCTCTTTTTTTGCTCTTAAACAGTTGTCATGGAGGGGAAGGGCTGAACCCGGTCAACCCGGACACACAAGCCGCATCACACGCTGGTGAGCTCTGTGCGTGCACATTTCCCCTGGAATGAGAATGCTGGGATTGTGTGTGTGTGTGTGTGTGTGTGTGTGTGTGTGTGTGTGTGTGTGTGTGTGTGTGTGTGTGTGTGTGTGTGTGTGTGCGCGCGTGCGCCCATGTTTGGAGGGGCAGGAGGGAAAAATGCGAGCGCAGTGTGATTAGGCCCACATGGATGACACTTAGGCAACGAGAAATCAACAACTTGCGCCACATTCCAAAAAAAAACTCTCAGTCTCTCTCACTACTTGAGTGACCTACCTCACACGGTGCATCTCGGAGTCGATGCATCATGATCACGTCAAAACACTCAAGTCCATGGGGGGCTGCATGGAGCTCAGGTGGGCGATGGCAGGGAAAAAAAGAAAAAAAAAACAGAAAAAGGAAAAAAAAAAGTTCTAATCCACACCCGCCTCCTTCCTCATGTCCAGTCGAGGTGGGAATCTGAACGGGAATAGTGCACATTTGATGACATTTTAATGGAATTCCATACAAAAATATGAAAGTATTGCACCACTGAGTAACCTTATCAGAGAGATATCAGTTTAGCATTACGTCCGTTATGGTTGTCAGTGTAAAAGCGCAATGCCATCCTACTGAGAGCCGTTTTGCTCAGGTGGTGGTGACCTCACTTGAACATTTAAAAGGAGCAAAATATTCGGAACAGCTGCGGGTGGGATCCAGGGCAACGTGAAACCACAAATTCTGTGATGCACTCTTGTATAGGTTGCAGGTGTACTGAGTGTTATAAACAACGTGAATCATTGAGTGATGAGATAGTTTTGATGTACAAATATTTGCAGACCGCATTAGCATGAAAGTCATCTGTTTTGATGTCACCTGTCATTGAGTTTGAAATGCGTTAGTGAGTATATAAACACAGCAGACACACACACACACAGACACACACACACACCGAGGAGTGACATTTACGTCACAGTTAACCTTGCACAGTGTTGCTTTGTAGTGATGCTGATATGTTTGACATTTTTTTCAAAGGGTAAAAACGAATGACATTTCTCCACGATATTAAGTGCACGTGAAACACAAGTCGACGACTCGTCGTGTTGATGTGCTCGTGCCACAAGCCGAAATAAAAACATTGTCTTGCCATTTTCAAATATTCAAAGAGTAGCGTTTGAAGAATAAAAAGACACACATGACGACAAGTTGTGCGGGTGTTCGCGAGCCTACCTGTTATTAATCCAGAGAACAACGGCCAGGCGACGGGCAGAGCCTTTGGTCCATGTTAGGTCGATGGGGGCTCCGGAGAGGAGAGCGGGAGGCTGCGAGGCGCTCAGCCCGCCAGTGGAGCTCCTCCGGCGACCGCGGCCCGCTGGAGCCGCTCGGTACCTGCTCGGCTGGAGAAAAAGCGGCGGGAAGAGCAGCGAGAGACGCCCCTCGGCGGGCACTCATTCCTCACGGCGACGGGGCGACAATGTAACCTCCAGTGTTCATTCATCTCCACCGCGACCGAACATTAAAAACGGAAAAAGACAAAAAAATATGGAGAGAAGTGTGTACTCCTGCGAGTTTCCAGTTGGCGGCGCGACCATCTGTGCGGAGACGGACAACTGGCTTGATGAAGCCCCGCCTTTTCGCCCGCCCCTCACTTGACGGCGGCCAATCGGATGGCCAGTTTAAATTTGGAATTTTTTCCGACGAACCAATCGGACGCAGTGTTACATAACAGTTGCTGTAAAGCGCTGAAGGCACCACATTAACCCATGGCAACATGGGCATCTACGGACAATTTAACTTTGATACCATTTTGTGGAATCTGTAGTCAAGTCAAATTTATATATTCCTTCATCACAAAAAGTCTCAAAGGGCTTTACATGCCCACAGTTGACAAATATTAACAACGTCCCTTGATCTGACCGAGGAGAGGGGGAAACAAGATGAGGTATGCATGAGGGGAAATAAAGCAAAAAAAAAATCTTCCATTTACAAAACTGCCCGCTATCTAGAAGCTACAAATTCAGGGAACATAAAAAAAAAAAAAATAGCCGTTGGCACTCGTGAGCTTCGCATCCTACTCTGAAAACAAAATTCATTTTAATTATACTTATTCCTGTCAAAAGAATAATCAGAGAAAGTAATCATTTTGCAGAGGTCCCTTCAATTTTTTCCCCAAAGATGCAAATGCTTTTGACTTTCCCCCAATAAAGTAACATAAACACAGCATTTGAGTGCTTTTCACTGCATTAAAAAGAGAGCAAATTGAATCCCCCCCCCCCGCCCCCGCCCCCATGTTGTCCATCAAACACTGGGACATGTTTGCCCAGCCATTAGCAAGTGCAATAGCAGAGTTTTTAACTTTATTATGATGACATGTAGGGCACAGCGGCCGCATGGGAATCTGGGGAGCCTAAAAAAAAAAAGGGTAGTGGTGGAGGTGGAGGTGGGTGTGGCGATGGTGATAGAAGGGGTGCTGCACACAGCTGATGCACACAAAAACAAAGGCTGACAGTGTTCTGTTTGCAAGCTCCTCAGCCAGCACAATAGACGGCGGGACAATAGGACCTCCTTTGACCCACACTACTCCAGGATCCACCCCCCTTCCCCATGTTTCAGGGGGGCTAGATCGCTATTGTCTAAAAGAAAAAGACCCCATTTTTAGACAATGGACAACTTAAAGCCATGTGAGCAACAAGTGATGCTAAACACAGCAAGAGTGCGCAAAACAGCTTGGCCGGCATGTCAATCATTAGCCCATGCTCATAATGTATGTTGTGGAAAAATATCCACTTTCATTTAATTGGGCGGTAAATGATTATTATTCATTTTTGAGGCGGACAGATGGGCCAGGTTATTCACAGCATTGTGTTACTAGATTTCATCCTATGTAAATATATTCCTACTTAAGCACTACTTTCCTTTTTAGAGGAGACTTACAATGAAGTTTGGGAACCACTGTACTAGACGGATGAAAGATGGCGTAAGAAGACGAGGGTCACAGCCCACTCCAAGTTGCTGTGTTGCCCGAGTGCATCTGCAGTCCAGTTTGCCGACTGGAACGGACCCAAGAGCACCAGCGGTAGCAGCGGTGGTTGTCGGATCCATCGAGTCCATCGCTGGAACGCAGTCAACGCTGGAGGGGATGTACTTTCTATTTGTGTCACATCACACTCCAGCCAAACTGTATTTAGAGCGAAGAAGAGCGCATGTGGCCGTTGGCTCGCTCTGGGGCGTAGTACACTTGAAAATGACAGATGTGATTAGAGTACCGAGGGATAAAAGTTTGCATATGTTTCATTGGTCGCCAACTGAAAGAAATGTTGTTTATTTGAAGAAACGCATTTTTGAACGTATTAAAACACACTTTTTAATGTATTCTCAGCATCTGCTCCATTTTATCTCGCTGTCAAGAAATAGGAACAAAAGTCTTTTGCTTGCTCTATTGTCCAAATAAGAGACAATATTTTCTTATTAGAGTCCTGGAATTCATCCTAAAATGGCTGCTCCAAACCAAAATGGCTGACTTGCGGTTCAAATTCAGGCAGTGTTTCTCGAGACTTTTCGGCGCATTTTGTCATGAGCGACATGTCCACCAAAATTTGCATTGACCGGTAAAACTGTAATGAAGGGCAGATTTTTTTAAAAATAGTTTGAGTCTTTGAAATTTTCCGGAATGGCTGTTTCAAACTAAAATGGCTGACTGCCTGTTGAATTGAATGGTTGGGTCTTTGAGAGGTTTTTTGTGCTTTCTGTTATGAGAGGCTATCCCCCCAATTTTGTGTTGATAGATGTTCTGAACCCCCCCAAAACCATCCAAATACACAAAGTTGGTGCGCTTACAAGAACAATGAAGGCAACTCCAAGAAGGACTTTGAACCACCTCCAAATGAAAAATTTGCCTCCTTGGCGGAGGGTAACAGTGCAGTGAATAACAGCTAAAACGTGCGTCAGGAAATTAAATCCTCCGGCAAACGGTCGGCTTCGGATGACAAACTCTTCATTCAAATGTACAATTGCTGTTTTGTTCCCTTTGTGCGATGGGGGCAGGAGTTTACCTGCGGCCTTCTTCCTATTCTCTCGCCTACAAAGCCTCCGCGGCTGATTGCGAATGCCGCGCCGCTTTCCGCGTCGGCTCTCTTTCACCTCACTCGGCTGACACAATGGGACTTGCAGGTTCCCATGGGTGTGCGGCGAGCATTAGCGCTGCGCTAGGCTAAAGGAGGCACACTGGGGGTGATAGTTGTTTCACAATATGAAGAAAAATTCAAATCAAAAGATGCGCCTCTATAGTTTCAACACGCTATTTTGATTAAAGGGGAAGTCAAGTCCAAACTTTTCTTGACAATAATATGACCAACCCCACCCAAAAAAACACATGAGCTGTGACAATGCGAGCCCGAAGGAACTTTAATGTCAATTTCAGCATATCTGCAGCCCTTTGTAAATCAAATTTGGGCTGGTAACAGCACTTGGAAAATCCATATACAATCTGTTAAAAGTTCATCGTTTCAAGTCTGGTAAATGCCCCCCTTTTAACCGCCACAGCCGCCGCTGCAGTCTGATGTTTTATGATAAGGACGCAGGAGTTTTTGCCTCTTTTTCTTATCGCTCACACTCCCAAGTTTGGAACCAAAGAAGGAATGTAAAGATTTCCACAAATCGCCTCCCCTAATCTCTTTTGTTTGTGCTCGCTGGTGTTAGCCAACCAACAAGTCATCTGGCAGCTTGATTAATGCGCTGTTTTTTTTTTTTTGGTTTCAATTTTTATTGACCCGTAAGCCACAAAATAACAACAAATGAGCGAGCGCAATCGCTGCGATCCGAAGGGCAGGCTGGCCTCATTGCACGCTTTTTAGGTGATTAAGAATCACAAAGTGTACGGATGCCGCGCGCCAGTGCCTCTCAGTCGCCGCGGAGACTGAAACAAAACATTCTTCAGACATTTGAAGCGTGTTTGCATTCTTTTCATGTCCACTTAGGGTCCTCTTCTGAGGGGTTACGCACCCCCGCAAGAGGCGAAGCGACAACAAAAGGCTCCACAACGCCACACTTTGTTTGCTTAGAGAGGTCATTCCCCAACCATGTGCCACGGCTCTGAAAATTCCTTTTTTTTTTTTTTTTTTAAATTTCATTCTGTTCTGGATTCAAATTTTTAATTTAGACCCCTTTTTGAGAGGGGGTGTAAAAAGAATCACCTGAAATAAAGTGGTTGCATAAGTGTACACACCCTCTTAGCAGTGAGGAGGTAGCTGTGTTCAGAAAGACTCAGTCACATTCAAATGGAGTCAGCACAAGCGCAAACATTTAAAGTCCTTTTGATTTAACTCGGAATAAAATTCAGCTGTTGTACTCTAGTTGGCTTTTTTTTTTTCATTTTAGCAGAACACCGACTGCTATTTTGAACTGTTCATAATTCCTTTCACCTTTCAGCTGAAGAAAAAACACTCGCAAAGAATGATGTTGCCACGACCTTTGCTTTACTTACTTAGGTATGCTGTTTTTGTGTTTGGTTGTTTTTTTTCCCAAAAAAGAATGTTTTTGCCCATTGAATGTGTGTCCAAAATCGAAAACATGGACACGGAATTCTTTTGAAGCACAATACAACACTGTTGTTCAATGTGATCAGATTGGCAGGTGCCTGCTCATAACTGAACAAGCATATCATGTTTGTGTGAGTGTGTACGGCCGACACACACTGCGCCCACAGTGTGTGTGTGTGTGTGTGTGTGTGTTTTCCATGAGTCATAGCGGACCCTGGATGATGCCAACTTTAATAAACTCTCGCCATCTGCCACCAACGTCCTCGCCTGCTCCAGTTTTCCTTGCGCGTGTCAGTGTCTTTTGTGTCGGTCTCACACACACACACACACACACACACACACACACAGATAAAGTAAAGGCTGACAAGAACATTCAAAGATGGACAAATGTATATATTTTGTGGTTTGGAAACAGAATTTATTTCCATTGGGATGTTGAGTCAAACCTTGTACTTCTGCTTGCCGCTCTTGCTGATGACACAGATATGCTGAAAAGAGAAGAAGAAGGAAAAAAAAAAGGATGTCATCCCACATTAAAAAAAAAAAGCCACTTGAAAGCATCCCGCTTGGCAGGGGCGGGGTCACCTTTGACTGACAGTGACTCAAAAAAGCCGCAAACTCCGTAACATGTCATTTACAGGAAAATGACATAATTTACTAGAGGAGGCAACTCAACATGTCTGTTTGTCAGTGTGAGTTATAATCACGCTGGAGTTTTAAAACCATTACACGCATGGATATGAATTTCACTGAGTCTACCCGAATCATATTTCTTGGTTTTTAGAAGTAGAGCAGATAAGAGAGGATGCTTCAGCTGGACTGATAATGAAACCTGACATTCCACTGGTTAACCCTCCCTCGCGTGTGATAAACGCACCCTCCCGTTCCGAATAATGTGGAAGAGTCACACGCAAAGCAAACGCACACCGTCAGGCTTATTTGGAAAATATCAGTTTCACGTTACTCGTCTTTATGAATCGTTTTCTGATTTGAATTTACAATGATGTCAAAACATCTTTTCCAGTCGTTGCTGCTCCGTAGCCGCTTATGAATGAGGCTGAAGGGAAAATGACGGGATTACATAACAGATGCAGCTGTAACATTTTGCGTGTCAGGATAAAGGGAGGGAGGAAGGGGAAGAAACCTGCTAGGTGAGTTTAGGTTTCAGGGAAAGGCGAGTGGGTGGAGGAGGCGGGGGGGGGGTCATCACTCTTTGATTTACTCTCTTCCCTCCCTCTGCGTCTTTCATCCCTCACTTCCTCTCCGACCTTCAAAAGGACGGCGCGCGCGCTTACGTTCAGGTCGCGGAAGTACTCGTTGTAGTCCAAAGCGTAGCCCACCACGAAGCGGTTGGGGATTTCGAATCCCACATCTGCAGGGGGTGGGGTGGGGGACACGAGAGGTAGAGGGTTGTAAAGAAATCGGGCAAGGCTGGCGTGGACGTGTCGCTTTGTACTACTCACAATCCGTCAGGTTCTCGTCCATGTTGGGAGCCCTCTTCACCAGCAGGCTGTGATGTTACAAGTTAGCTTTTGAATACCAATCACTGTGTCCCAATACTTTTGTCTACACATTGTAAATGACAAGCAGACGACACGGGAGACGTCGACAGCGTCTTCCATCACAGCGTTGGCATTTCCTGCTGCGAGGGGGGAGGAGTGGGTGGACAAATGCACGAAAACGCCCGAGAGAGGCCCCACTCACCCCGCGACCTTGACCATCTTGGGTTGAAAGGTCTCCACATGCTTCCGAAGGGTCTTCATTGTCTTGCCGGTATCAACAATGGCCTTGGGGGGGACAGGGATTCAATTTAAGGACGTTTTAAAAAAATGTACAAAATAATCACACTGCTTTTCAGAAGCGAACACGAATCGGACTCTTTAACCCTTTGAGGGACAGCGGTGACTCCGGTGGACAGCTTATCAGGTGATCAGGTTACAGGGTGCGTGAAAGGGTTAAAGTCGATGCAGAGGTTTGTGTTTAAATCCATTCGACAGGTTTGAAGATAAGTGCTGACTAGTGTTGTATTAATTTGAGGAGATATTTTTCGACATTTAAATTTTCCAGATTTTTTTTTTTTTGGGGTGGGTTAGGTGATGTATTTATGCCCCGCTCATAACAAAACTTTCCTCACTGAACTGTGTGGAAGGGCGTCACCCTGTACCGTGTTCTTTTACAAGTGAAATTAAGATAAGAAAACCTTTATTAGTCTCACAATGGAGAAATTCCCCAAAATTAGGAATATTCAAAGAGAGGAGTGCACAAATAACGTGGACCAGGAGGGCAAACAACTCACCTCAACGATGAGCACGCTCTTGGCAACATGCAAAAAGAGGAAACAGGCTCACATTAGGCACATTTGCATTGTTTTTGCATACATGTGGAATGTTTGGGAAAAAAGAGGATCCATGGCAACGATGTGGAGAATCCCTTCTATTCTGACCAGTGGTGAACATCTGTGCGGACAATTTTTTTTTTTTTCCCGACGGCAGCGCTTCAAACGCGCCCTTGTTCCCCCAACGGGTTCTTTGTGAGTCCCGTCGTCGAGAACGGAGGGAACTCGGGGCGAGGTTGCCAAACGGTCTCGCATTTGACCACCGCTACGAAAAAGAGCGCGAAGAACAAGACGGGCGGGCACGTGTATGAAAAACCTTTTCGCTATGATGTCACATGTACGTCCAGGTGACAGAATATGGAATTTTCCACTTGAAAAACAATTTTAGCCTTGGTAGGTGAAATAAATGAAGTGTCTGTTGAAAAGATGATGTTACATGAGGTAAACTACTTGGAAAGGAAATGGAACGCTGGCCGTAAGATTTAATTTTGTCTTTGAGAGGCTGGCTAATTCGTTGACTTTTCTGTTGCTCAAATGAATGGCACAGACATTCTCACTGAAATGGAGCTATTTTTTTTCCAGGTTTCCAAATGGGTGCTCCTAAATGAGTTACTTATACAGAAAAAAAAATGAGACAAAAAAAAAACTAGTTGTGCAACTTAAGCGTCTTCCATTTGTACAAATTGGAATGTATCCCCAATAGTTCATTCAAACCAAAATGGCCCCCTTGCTGTTTAATTTTGAGTATGTATGAAGTGAGTCAAAAAACAAAAACAAACAAAAAAAACAAAACACCTTTCCGAGCAAGAAGGACAGGTCTCGGCTGCCGATGATGTGCAGATCCTCTGTCGATTGGTCATTCTGGACAAGAGAGGATAAGTAAATTTTTCATCAGGAAATGGAACTCGATTTGCAGCAACCTGTAAGCAGAAAGCAGAGAATCCACTGGGAAAGCATCACATGGCTTGTAATGTGGACGACATCACTGCCTCGGGTGGGGTGGGGATCGTCACATGAATCCGTGATGACCCGCAAGCTTGTAAAGTTACACGGCGGTCCGTCATTTTAAGATTACATCTGAAAGATCTCTGTTTGGAACGATAACAAGATATTTCCGGCATGTTTTCGCCTTTTAAAAACCTCACCGCTGTAATTCATTATCATCTCACGAGGGTCGTGGCAGTGCCAGCCAATTGCAGGACACACACAGGCTGTCATATTTTCGGCCGCATATTATTTTCGGCCACGTGACGTCACTTCCGGCGCCACTCCAACACACGTAGTTTCCAAATTCGAGAAAGACAATTCGCAGGTCTTCAATGGCTCATGTGGTGGTGGTGGGGGGGGGGGGGAATGCCCCCGGGGGGGGACAAAACGGGGTGAATTTGAACGGGCTTAATGTGAATTCTGAAACCACGTGCGGTCGAGTGACGTCAGGCAGCTGAAAAATGCGGCCTTCGGAAGACATGTCATAATCACACCTCAGGACAATTTAGAGTGCTCAGTTAGTTAGCCTACAACTGCTGTAATACTGTACTCCTCACATTTGAAAACTATCTACTCACACTAAGTACAGAGTGAGTTACTCCGCATGTAAACATTCCAGGTGTATTCCGGGTTGTGTTATTATCCTCCACACAAGGCTGGGCTCTCATGTTGTCATATGATGATGATGATGTGAGGCCTCGAGTATTTCCTGTGTCCTTGGGGTGTGCTGCCTGAACGTAGCCTCCCTCGGCCTCGTGAAAACATGAGAAACGCTGACATCGAGTGGCAGAGACATGACATGGCAATTGTTTGATTTTTTTTTTCATTTGCGGGTTTGGACACCCTACGGGCGAGGGCGTGAGTGAGTGTTATTGTGACGTTTCACGCACCAGGTAGCTCTTGAGTCGGATGAACTCCACGCGGGTCTCCAGGTACTTGTTGGAGTTGCATCCTAACACCTTGATGCACTCCATCAGGTCGGCGCAGAACTTGTAGCCACCCTTCAACACGCACAGCACCATAATGTCGTCATCCACAAAGTCGTCCACGATGTAGCGGGCCAGTCGTTCGGTTCTACGTGGCGGGGTAAGACGGATGACGTCAACCAGGTGAGGGAGACTTTTTTTTTTTTTTTTTTTTTTGCTGAATGAATGAATGTGTGCTGCTTGTGTTGCGGATCGCACCTGTTCATGACCACGCCGTGTGGAATGTAAACGCTGTCGATGTCGTCGTGGTAGTGCTCCGGGTAGGTGAACAAATCCAGACCGTATCCCGGCCAGTCGTCTTTGATCTGCGACGACAGGACGATCGTCAGTGCGTCAAGAAGCATTGACCTCCTTCTCCAAAATCAAACTGTCATATTTGTTCCATGAAATTGTAATCATGAATGCCCAACGGTTTTTTTCGCAACATTTCATCGCGTTTGTTTTGGCTGCCAGGTTAAGTGAGTAAGTGCATGTAAATGTACGATTTTTGTTTGTTTGTTTTTTTTTTTTTTTGGGGGGGGGCAATGAGATCTAAGCCTCTGTGTTACCCTGCCATCTAAACTCCCAAAGTCTATCACAATCTGTAGTGCTGGCCAATGCTACGTCACTTTTATTAGCAATTGTACCGTTTTTGTAATGCAAATTCACCAACTCGCTGGCCCACGATGGCGTCACAACGTTTCTGTCTTTTTATTGGTTAGTTAGAGGAAGTGACGTTTGACAAGCAAACTGTCTTTGTGGCTTTATAACATAGCTGATGATTCTGATTCTGATGAGCTTTCGGGGCGGGGGGCAGTGGGGGAGGACAACACGAAGTGACTTTTTTTAAATCTTTCGCCCAACAAATACACCATGTATGAAAAAAAATGAAATCAATACTAAAACTAATAGAATCTAAACCAAAACAAAGCATTTTCATTAAAAATAAACAAACAGTTTTTCATGTCCTGTAGCAATTTCAGTATTTTTACTGCACGAGGCTACGTTTGATTAAATGAAGCTCCTCCTCTCACTTCAACATATTTCACTGGCCCCAAGATGGCGGTAATATTTTCAAGTGAGATATGGCTTTCACCTGAGTACAAAAACTGCTCACAGATGTTTCTTTTTAATATCAGCAAAAAAAAAAAAAAAATCAAATCTACAAATGCTGAACGATGAAAATGTGAGATTTCCCTCTAGTGAAGATGAAAATATATGCAAACGTATGAGGACGTTGCTACTATTTTACTTCACCAATGACGTAAAAATAATATAACCAAAACACTTTAAACAGGTCTTACAATGTCATTAAAAGGAATTTGCAATACTTTTGTGGCCGCATCTGATCACGTGACCGTTTGCATTAGACATTACCACAATTCCTCTTTTCTTCCCGGCGAGCTCCATTTCAGAGGGGAGAATAGTCCTGCTGGCGGTCAGAGTTCACAGAAATATCCCAGCAGCAGTTGTGGTCTCTGGGTGAAAGCGTTCACACCCCCCAAAAAAGTTGCTTAGACTGATAAAAAGACAAGATGAAATGTGCACAAATGTTATCGTGAATGTGCCGTTTGCTTTAAGCGACAGAGATATGGCTACTCACCGCTTTTCCTGGTTTCTTGTCAAGAAGAGTAAAAACGGTGCAGTCTTTCCCGGGGCCACATGCGCTGTGCGATCACGCTTCAGTCATTTGTCTTTTTTTTTTCTCCATTCCACTCGTGGAGAATGCGAGAGGATAATGGACTTCATGTGACACCGTTCAGGCCCGCTGCTGCTGACCAATCAATACATTAAGACAGCAACTTTTGACAAATATTTTGTGCTTTATTGTCACGTAACAAAAGGAATGAATCAAATACATACACTTGGATGATTTACATTCATCTTGGGCCAAGGAGGAATTTAGTTTTTGAAGACATTTTGCAATATTATTTTTGCAGTACTATACTGAGGAGGTATGAAACATTTTTAGAGTAATTGTACTTTGCTGGTTGAAGCATTTCTTTTTCATGCAATGGAGTGAGTGAAGTTCTATTTTCCAGCAGGATGGACAACATTGACTAACACTGTGATATTTTTTAGACCTTCATGTCTTAAATGTCATTTTTACTTTCCACAGATGTTAGCAAAGTGGTTGTTACTTGGCAGAATGAACATAAAAACTACCAAAAGTTTTTAATCCAGTGGGTCTCAGGGAAATTTTGCTTTTCCTTGAAGTCCTCAATGACATGAAGCATTTCTGAAAGTGTACAAGGTGGGTGGTAAAGACAACTTAAGATGGAGGTCTATTTGGCAATGTAGATGGTCTTGAATCTCTCAAAAAGGCCGACGTCGCTCTCCAGCTGCTTGATCTCGGCCTCCAGTTGGTCCTTGCGATTCTTCCGCGTCAGAGTGTCCATGACCACTGGCAGACGGTTGTACTTGTTGTGCAGCTCGTCCAAGGTGGTCCTCAGGCTCTTCCCGGAAAAGAATACAACTTCAGAGATTTTTTTTTTTTTTTAAGATGTTGCTTTTTCAGCACAGAGTTACTCTGGAAGTACCTCCAGATTGGCTTGTCGTTCCTCTTCTGACAGCTGCCTCATGGCACCTTGTTCCATCTGCTCCTTCAGATACTTGTTGTACTCGTCCACAGATCTGTGTACTTCCTCGTTGCGATGCTGCAGGTACTCGGGCACTTTGCCGTAACTCTGAAAGCGGCCGAGACACAGATTATGGATCCCCATACTTCCAATTAACTTTATTTCTCCTACATCTTCATGGGCAGAGAGGGGAGGGGTTAGGAGTTACTCACAAGAGGAGGAGGAGGAGGAGGAAGGAGAGAGGGAGGGAGCAAGACAAATGAAACACTGTGTAAACTCTGTTGATGCCATATGCATCGTCCTCGAAACAAAATGGTGCAGGTGAAACAGATGAAAAGGTATGAAGGTCTCAGATGTTTGTCACACGGCTGTTTATAAGCTTTACCTTTTTGTTGACGTACTTGGGGACCAGTCCGGAATGTTCCAGGAGCTCCTTGTGGCCTCGACTGGTGTCAACAGACGCTACCAGCTGTTTCGTCGGGACGGGTGTGGTAGGCTTGATGAGGCTTCTCTTGCTGTGGAGGTCCATAGGTGGGTGTTCTGACCTCAAGGGGACAGCTGGTTTCTTTGTAGTGCACATGCGATGACAACGCTCTTTGACTGCGAGACAAAAGGGAGAGACAATCCGACCAAAAGTAATCAGACATTTATTGCTAGTTAGGCAACTCACTTTGGGGCAGTTTGGGCTCTTTGGAATGTTTCTTGAGGTATTTATCTGGAGATGGAGTGGCCACTTTTGCTGGTCCCATTGTTTTCATTGCATCCTTGAGCGTCTTGTCCTTCAGAATAAGCACTGGTCTAAACTTGGACTTGTACCTGAAGATACAGCACAGCAATAATACCAATTTCTTATCAAATCATCAGTGAAATCTTCCCGAATATAGTCAAATCGGGAACTAGAGAGAGAGCGCAATGTCTAAAAATGTACAGCTGACATACTTATGAGCTTAGCTTGTGTTTTTCTCAAACTTACTTTGGCTTTTCAGTGTGAACCTGATCAGGTAAATAATTGTAGATGCTCTCTTGGGGAAAAATCGTCTTAGCCATATTGAAAAGTAAAATGGTCGAGATGAAGCCGTTAAATGTCGTAAGTAATCCGTTAAATGTCGTAAATTAGCCGCGCTAACTAACGTTTGCTGGAAAGTTCTCAGAGGATTCTGCTTTGGCTTGTTGCTAGGCAACCTGCCTGGACCATGAGTTGCCTTCAGGTGCAGGCGTTAATTACTAAATCCTTAATATGATTGTATCGGATCGAGTTTTTTCAAACTGTTGGTATTTATAAGAGCATTCTAAAGGGAACACGCTGTATTAAACTTGGATTATAAATACAGTAGAAGTTTAACCTACGAATGACTAACGTATAGTCAAATTATTATTATTTGTCTCAGTAAGGATTTGTAACCATCCGATTACATCGTGACATCCTGAAAATAAGTCGTGAATGGAATTAAGATTTAAATTTAGTCATGACAATATTCATTGGCATGAAAGTGAAAATAGACAGACAAAGAAAGACAGTTAAAGTTTTTTAATTTACGTTTGTCAATGTTGGTGTTCAAAACATTAACAAATTTTACGTCAGGTCCTTTGGCGCTTGTTTCCATCCAGGAGTGCGTGTAGTTAATTTTGTTCCTCCCAAGGTACCGTAGTTGTTTTGAAATGGCAATATGGCGCCAACCTGAACAAAAAAATGTTTCTACTACGGAGTGTTCTAAAGTATAAATTGAGTCCCTACAAAAGCTACATTTGACGTGAGTATACATTTGCGAAGTTTATATTTTGATGCCACTTGGCGACAGTGGTAGAACATGTACGGACAGCGTCGCTCGCTAGACCTTAAAGACAAGCTAAAAGTACTGCAAATCCATCCATCCATTTTCAACACCGCTTATTATGAATAGAGTGGCGGTGGGGGTGCTGGACTGCTGACTTCGGGCGAAAGGTGGACAACACCCTCAACTGGTCGCCAGTAAGTCGCTGGGCATATATAGAGACGAACAACTCTGTGAACTCTTATTTCTTTGTTGTGAAATCAGGACAGCCAATTTTCACAACAGCGGAACTTCAAATATTTGGATGAATTGCCCAATTTAAAATGTAATCAGTCTGTTGCCTTGAAATTTTGAGCTCACGCAATTATTTATTTATTTTTTTGCAGTGTGCATGTATAAAAAAAAGTCATCTACGCGTCCAACCGCAGCCGAGTCGTGTCGGACGTCATCAACACCCTCTCAGAGCCCCAGCTGCTCCCCGGCCATCGACATCCTGAAATCGTCCAACCTGGAGAGATTCATCTATCACGTCTTGGGTGGCGACGGCCTGCTCGTCAGGAACTTGTTTGCGTGTTTAAACAAGGTGTGACAATTTAGCCTTTTCTTGGCATGATGCGACAGGAAGTACAGGCCGCCACGTGCTTGGAAGAAGACTGGCAGGCTGCCATCCAGAGTGTGCACACGCACGCTAGCGACGACCTTTTTGCTCATTCTGACAAATTTTCCGAGGATACTTTGGAACAGCTGAGGATGCTGCAGTGTGCTACCCCCAAACCGGAAAAGCGCAGGGATATGATGGAATGCCTCAAAGACAGAAACAGACGCGAACACACAGATTATGGTATGTTAGTAGAGCAAGTGGAGAGCGTGATCCAGGACTCCTTCCTGAAAGTAATGTAAACCTTTACCACGACCACTACAGGTTGGTTGTTGGCTCTCGGTAGACTGTGTACCTAATGTAGTGTCCAGTGAGAAGATAAAGTGAGCCTCATCCCAGTGGCACTTTGCTGTTTGGACAAATGTGAAACCAAGCGTTTACATAATGGAACGCAGGCAGGGAGTGTACACGGTGCTTGGGGGGTACATTTTTGCCCCCCTCAGCAAGAATCCTATCTATTTGCCTGTAGGGGGCTGCGGGGTGAGTCATTTAAAACCAGGTGCTGCCTCAGCAGCTGCTACCGGAGGACGCGGCAGGATGAAGTTTCACCCAAAGCAGGACTACTCATCACTGCACTTGTTCAACTCGAAAAGCTCATGCTGACTGATCTATTAGCTTTTTTTTTTTTTTTTTTTTTTTTAGGTCCACGTATTACGTTGACCAAGATGTAACTCAACAACCAAACAGCCTTTACAGTGCACGTGTCACATCCGCGAATGGCTACGTCGTGAAGCTGCTCGTCAGGAGAGGAAGAAAGAAGAGTCTGTGCGCGAGTGACTGAAAGTGAGGCGTGATGACGCATCCCCCTGCCCCCCTGCTGCGATATGATTGGCCGATGCATCCAGGCAGGAAGTGCAGGTGAAACGAGATGGCGTGACTGAGTAGCTGTGCGTAAAGTCAGGTGAATGTGTTCACTCAAGAAAAGTCTTTTGAGGTTTATTTCCTTGAAACATGATGAGTGAAAATGTTCCAAACTGACTGACTTCTATCATCTTGATTATATGTGAAGGGAAACAGCTGAGGGTTTGAGACCGTGTGCGAATGTGAGTGTATTTGAGTGAGGAAATGAATGTGTGTGAGTGAGTGCGTGCGGTGAGGAGAGAAGCAGCCAGCTGTTGCTGAGCATCATGGCGGCGCACGGCCGGCTGAGCAGGGATAATTGCAGGTAGCAGCCTGTTCCTCCTCCTCTTCCTCCAACACAACAATGAAGGAGACAAATCATGAATTTGTGACATCGCAATCAGCAAATATTTGAGAGTCTCACGTTTTCAAAAAAAAAAAAAAGAACGGCAAGATTTTGCTCAAATCTGCCATTCACGCTTTCATTTTTATCCATTTCAGGGTGCGGCCATTTTGCCATTTGATTGAAAACGACATCACGAATGCCGAAGGGTTCAGCTTTGCGTACGACACATTCCAAAACCCCGAAAACAGGTGAGCCGTGTTGGTTGTTGAGCACTGTGATGTCATTTTCGGTCGACAACTAGAAGCAGTCAAAGGCAAAATGGCCGCCCTGCGAGACGGCTAATGCTTAATTAAAATTGCACAAACGCGAAATTAATCACAGTCCTGTTTTTAGACGAACGGGGGCACATCTTGTCAAGAAATCTCACACCGTGGATGCGGTGAAGACAAAAACTTTCCAACTGCGTAACGTCATTTGTGTAAAGTCATGCTTGGATGACATTGGTGCGATCGAAAGCTCTCTCTGACAGGCACAGCTTGTCAAGTCTCCCCAGAAGAGTGAAAACTATCCAACTCACCGCATTTTCTAAACTGTCCGCTCCTTGCAGGACGCTAGTGTCAAACCAAAGTCTCAGTGCCCCGATTTGACCCGCCAGCATCTTTTGTGTCTCCTTCAAATTTGTTCTTTTCATTCCGGCTCCAAATCTGCTCTGAAATGAATTTTTCTTCACTGTAGACAAACATTACAAGCATTCCCCCCCACACCAAATTTCCCCGAGACAATGTTTCTTCGCACCAACTCGCAACTCCATCTCTAGATCGTCCGAGGATAATTTATTCGTGACGCTCTCAGCGCGTGAGCGTTTGACAAGCCAGATGGCTCACACTGGCAGAGAAGGTGCGATGTCCACCATCAATCAGCCTGATGTTTTCGCCCCCCCCCCACCCCCCGATGCGCTGTATTTGCATCCAATTACACGCCGTGCGTCGATGCGAAGCTTGTTGGCTTTTCTACATGCTCGTGTCATCAAAAACCGATGACTATTAATGAATTGCGCAAGGCGAATCATGAGGGGGGGGACACATTTCAGATCCGACGCGTTCGAAAACTCGCCGCTTCCTCCGCAGCCGGTTGAATCTGAACGCCGTTAGACACGATTGCGGTTTTAAGAGATCAGTATTTCTTAATGAATTGCCCCGCGTGCCCCCCCCTCAACCCCCTTTCCGCGTGGCCTCCTGTCTGCAACCCCCCTCCCTTGGGTGTCACGGGCTGTTCCCGAGGACGCGCGCCAGCCAATCGCTTCCTGCCGTCGACTTGGCCATGCCTGACGCCGGCTCTGTCACCCTCGGTCACGCCTGTCGGCCCACTGGCCACCCTTGCCTGCAGATCTGGATGCCCACGCGCCATTCTCAACCCCCCCCCCCCGGAGGAATGAAATCCAGAAGGAGATGGGCAAGTTCCATCAAGTGTCAAGAAGAAGGGAGGCTGAAGGTTCATTTCATTGTGTTATTAAAAGAAACATAACAAGTGATGTGTGTTGTGGCACAAGGTGGGACGACACAATGCCCCCGGTGAGTTTATCGTTCGTTTTGAACATTCGTGTCTTTATTGTTGAAAGCATTGAGAAACTCAAAAAGCAGCTATTTTGTTCTCAATATATTGTCAGTTGGCCTTTTAATTGGTTAGGTATCGCTTTGCTCAGAATATTGTTTTTAGTTTTATGTCTTGAAATATTATTGTCATTCATGTGGTCATCTAATTAGGAATTATGATTCCCCTTATGTAAATTGCGTTTTTAATAAATGCATTTGTGTTTGCTAGTGCCATTTGTTTTTTTTTTTTGTTTTTTTTGTCGTATTAATATTTTGTCGTTCATTACCGACTGTGGATCGTGTGATTAACAATGACTTCTCTCTCATGTTGTTTGCTTGCCATGGGTGAATGATTTTGACTGATGGTGACTTCAAGAATTGAAATGTTCTTCAAAGTACCGATTTTGTCGAGGCTGCATTCAAATCAATAGCATATTTATGCTTTGAATATGCCGTTCATACAAATAACTTACGGCAGAGTATCAAAAGCCTGTAAGAATTCTGCAGCCATGTGAACATGGCAGACGAATCACAGATATCAAAATGTTCTCCTAGGTGTTGGGAGGGTGGCAATGGCCACCCCTGACCACCACCTAGCACCGCCCCGAGAGAGGACGAGGACGACGGGCTTTCGGAGCGCCCGCTTCCCGGCGGTGAGTCTTTTTCTCTCCGTTTTCGCAGGGCCAGTTTTTAATGCTTCCTGTGGTCGGAAGAGGGCGAAGTGCGTTTGAGGCTCCCAGCTGGATCGTCGCCTGCAGAAAATATATAAATATAACAATAACCTCCCTCTCTCCCTCCCTCCTCCTCTTCTTCTTCCTCCTGGTTTGGATTCAGTCTGCAAGCAGGAGAGGACGCCGCCGCAGACAGACATCCTTCCTCCATCCTCCGCGGAGACTCCAAGAAGCGTCGGTAAGGGGTTTGCGAGGAGACGACCGAGGAGTGGGGGGGTTCCTTCTTTGGATTTTACCCGGGGGTGAGGGAGGAAAAAAATAAATAAAAACAAGGGAGTCTTAGAAGATCCCACAAGTGGCCGAGCGATGGTTTAGCGTTGCCACCGGTTCGAATCTCTGCCGCCCGCACGACCCGCCAGCAAAAATCCATCATCCCATCCACATCGGCGGACGCGACCTGGAGGGAGATGGAGGCTATCTTCCGGCTGGCGTTGCTGCTGCACGTCGGCCTCGCCATCGCGGCGGCGGTGCACGGAGGCGGCGCGGCGCAACTCCGCGGCCGCCGGCTGGCGCACCTCCGCGGCGACAACGAGGAGCGCCAGCGCCTCCCCGCCGCGGTCGCCGACTTCCTGCACACGGGCGACTCGAGCGCCCTGGAGCAGGCCAATTGCTCGCGCAGGTTCGAGCTGCTGCGCGGGGGGAGGTCACCTGAGAGCCCGCATCGCTCCGCGCTGGATGCGGTGCTGCACGCCGCCAACTTCCTCAGCTTGGTGCTGCAAGCCAACAGGTCCAGGGAGCAAAGCGTGCGGCGAGACGCGGAGTGGTACCATGCCCTGGTGCGGAGCCTCCTCCTCGGGGAGCAGAAGATCCACCGGGCCGTGGTCGCCTTCTCCTCGGACGGGCCCGGGGTGCACCTCCAGGCCACGAGAGCCGGAGGTGAGATCGTGCTCCAGGACCTCTCCGGCCTGCACAACCGCTCGAGGGACGGCGAGTGGTACCACGGCGTCAAGCACAGGAGGAAGACCACCTTCCAGAAGAAGATGCTGAGCCAGGATTTCGCAGCCGTGCACGACTCCCTGAGGAGAGGCGAAAGTTTGATCCCGGACAAGACGCACGTCAAGTGGTCGGCGCCCTACCTGGAGTGCGACAATGGGAACTTTGTCCCTCGCTGGTTGTTGACGCTGTCGGCTGCGTTCTACGGTCTCAGGCCCAATATGGCTCCGGAGTTCAGGTAAGAAGAATTCACTCGTCTGTCAGGTATTTAAGTTCATGTTGTAATACTTTCAAGGGCTCCTTGGGAGCCAAGTTGACACGATCTTACAGCAGAGATTTAATTTAGTTGGACAAAAACCAATCCGAAAGTCAACCACTTGTCACTGATGCTCCGAAATTGACATAGGAACCATTTTGGGTTCTGGCGCTAACTTTTGGTAAGCCTGCTTTGGGACTAAAATGTCTTCTCTCAGTTCTATAACTTTTACATCAAGTGTTTGCGTCTGTCTCGTCATCCTGCAAGCCATTCTCAGCAGGGTTATAATCATTTAGGATTTTTTTATTATTGTTCGTTTTTATTTAATCTCGATTTTTTTTCAATAATTCAATTCGTTTTAAGTGGATGCTTGTTAATTTTTATTCGCTTTTTTTAATGTTTTGTTTTAGGTTCTTTCGTCTTTTTAGTCTTAGTTTTTTTTTTTTTTTAACATGAGCTAGGTGTAAGATTTAAAAAAAAAAGGCCATTAATTCTGTGATAAACTAAGATAAAGTACAATTCTCAAATGACTGACCTTTTTATAAACTAATGTCAATTTGTTTTCATTTTTAAAAAGTATTTTCGTTGTTATTTGATCCCATTAACAATAATATTTTTTTTTGTTAGCCTTCATTCACGATAATCTTGACTCTCAGGCAACTTTTCCACCTAAAATGACCCGGTGCTATATCAATCCAGCAATCGAAAACTCACACGGGAATACGTCTCCTAAAACATAGCACCACTTACCATTACCCCCACCTCCTCCCCTCCCACCCACCCCAAATGGAGGGTGTTGGAACTGAAGTCTATAAATAGCCCAAGCCACAGTGGAAACCTCTGGCTGCAGGCGTGATTAAAAAAAAAAAACTTGCTTCTCACATAAAAGCCTTTTTGCAATAAAGGGATGAGTCACACATTTGCAAAGGTAAAAAATAAATAAAAATAGCTTCATGTATTTTCCCCTTTGGCTCTGGCGTAACGTGTGATGTTTACGCCAGTGCTGCTGCTACGTGCTGCAAGAGTCAAGTGTGAGAGCTCCACAGAACCCTGACCAACATCATCTTCTCAATGAATAATTAATCCACATCACTAGTTGTGTGTGTGTGTGGGGGGGGTGGGGTGGGGGTCTTCAATGAATGTTTAATTGATACACCTCTGGCTGGCTTGCAGGCAGGCAGGCACAGATTGCAAATGAGTCCCAACCTGCCGTGATTGTACCGTAATAGCCTATCAGGTACACACCGTTATAGTTCCAGTCGGAGCAGCTTCACTTTGCTCGCCGACTAATCGGATGCTTAATTAGCCCGCGTGCTATTGCCTGAAAGTGCGACCGCTTTCACGCCGGCTCATTTGTGAAAGCGCCGTTTGAATTTCATCGCCGCCTCCAACATCCGCTCCATTGTGTCTTTTCGCACTTTTACCAAAGGAGAGTTTGATTGTTGTTGTTGTTGTTGATGGATTCGCCAACTTCTGTAGATCGATGGTGAGACACGAAGGTGGCGTTTTGTATTGTTTTATACCCCCACTTCGCCCTCCTCCTGCACCATTACGCATCCAGAGCAGCAGAAAGCATCAAGACTGCTTTTTTTTTTTTTTTCAAGACAGTGAGATCATCAAATTGTCCTTAACGACGCAATGAGGACACAAACGAGATCTTTGGTAGAGTGCAAAAGTCATTTGGACTTTGTGAAATACTCAGTAAGTTACAATATGGTGAAAATCGAGTGCCTTTGAGTCACCATGGCATCAATTCGGGACGTCCCGAATTTTTATTTATTTATTTATTGTGCGTCCTAGTTAGAGTCACTGCATCGCATGTAAGTTGCAGCGCAGTCGCACCTTATGCGTTCCAAGCAATCACAGAGCTTAGCATGTTCGCCTGCTATCTTAATGCTAAAACTAAATAGCTAACTAAATCACATCGATGTTGCACCCCGATAACCCTCGGAGCAACGGACTGAACGCAAACCGTGAAGATGCGGAAAGACATTCTAACAGTGCTCACTGTCATATGTTCTTTATCTTCTGCGAAGAACGACTTATATTAGTGCCATACAATCAATGGCCATTCACTTGATACAGTGTGACAAACCCTCTTGATTTTTTTTTTTTTTAATTTCATTTTGTGATGCCCGTACTGTATGTTTTGATGACGTACAATGTTATAGCGTGTTATTTTCCAAAATTAAAATCACGTGACCAAAACTGCGTCTACTTATGGCATGCTCCCGCCACGTTTTAGTGGAGTCATGTGAACAATTCTTGGGTGTCCGGCGTTGTTTGTATGAGTGCTGCAAGATGGTCCCCCGTTCAGACAGCAGCTCGCTCGCTCGCTCCCCTGCGGCTGAATGCGCAATCAATGCGACAATGAATTAATAATGAAAGATGTACAACAACAACCTCGCAAGGGCCATCTTGATTTCGGCTATTTAATGCCTTCCTGTTGTTTGTGATGATGCTGCAGTGTGCAAGGTGACTTTTTTTTTTTTTAAACCTCACTTCTCCAGACGCTCTTGCAAATTGAGGGTTCAATATATCATATTGTTCAATGAATCCTGTCTACTAACATGAAATATTGACGCACCAGTGCAGTAATCAACCACGAACCCCGGGTGTCGATGTTCAGACAAATCCATGCGGCCACGCGGGCACACCTACAACCCAAATCATTTAAAATCCGCTTAAAACATCCGGTGAGACCAGCGCTGAGTCAAACTTTTGTTTAATTAGTTGGCGGAATCGTCTTCCCTCACGCTTGACTTTGCCGCGGAGTCGTCTGCGAAGCCTTTGCGGTGCGGGGAGCACCAGAGCGGGGAGGCCCCGACTGCGGGAGGGGCCGTCAGCAGCATCTGTTCTGGTGGTGGATGCCATCCAGAAGCAAATCGGATGGAAACCCCACAAGCCCCCCGGGCTTGAGCATTAGCATATTTCAGAAACCATTGCCGATTTGGATCGTATACAGCCAAATGTGAAGTAGTGCCGTTATTATGATCGTTATTTGTGATCGTGATACGTTGCCGGTCGATTGGTAATCAGCTGTGAGCATTATTCCACGGTATAGTTTTCGTATGTAAGATCACCGTTTACCACGAGATGGCTTAAATGCACTTCCACCGGGGCTTTTACGACCCCATACTACAATATGAATCGGCCTAATATTTTTTTGGGCAGATTTGTAGTGACATGCAGGACAACACATAGCACCTGAAACATGAGCAACATTTGAGTTGAGTTTTTGTGGGGGCAAAAAAGAATGTGCAAAACGAGGTGTTGCACTTAAACTCATTCAGTACCAGCCAATTCTGGACCAAGTCTGAAAAGACGTTTAAAAGCGTCTTTGGGAGTGAATGAGTTAATATTGGTTTTCTGTTTAGCGGTTTTGTTCCGTCCTTGAATGGTCGTTTTTAAGGCGCGACAGCTCTTTGCAGCGGAAACTTGTTGTCGGCGGTTGGACCTTTTGTACAAGCATTGAGAAATGTATCATGAAAAAAAGGAAATAGGTGAAGATATTTATGATGTATATTCGTGAAGAGAAAAAAAAAACAGACTTCGGCGCACCTATTTTGTCCATATTTCAAATGGGATTTTTGTCATTTGTTCGGGGTCTGACAGTATTACCGGATGCTGATGTCATTTGCTTTGCCCGTTAACGGATTAGCAACCTGTAATATTATTATGGAGGCTTTATCCTGTTGTAGGGATTAACGCAACTCGCTGGGAGGGATTCAAAAAGCATTTGATGGGCTACCTCAAGTTGCGGGTCAGATTGACCCATTTTAAGGTTAAGAAAAATTCAAAGTTTATAATCCACTCTAAAATACATCTGAAACAGACTTTGAGATGAATCCCAAACCCGTAGTTGGGTTGCTGATTGATAAACGGATTTTTTTTTTTTTTGACCGTTGCGGAGAATCTTGTTTATTTTTTCTTTCCTTGTCAACGCTCGCCGTCAAGTTGTCCATCAGCCGAGCGATTTCTCCTAAGTGTCGCGCTGCGTTTGTCAGTATGTCACGTGGCTCCCTACCCGTCGTCCCGTCATGACGCTTGGGGCTCCTGGCGTAGGAATTTGTAATGAGTGTCAAGGAATATGACATCATGTGGCAGCTGAAAGAATCAAAAGGAGAAGGCCGTCTTTATTTGCTTTGCTTTGCTTTGACGGCGTCGTCGCCACGGGCGCGCGTGTCCTCTTTGATTAGCGGCGACAGGACTCAATAAAAGGACCCGGGTCGCTGTTGTAATGGCGGCGGCCTGCCCGGCAGCCAGACTGCGCATTAGTTTCTCCTCCTCTTGTCGGTGTAATGCATTTCTGTCACTTAAGAGACATTTTCCTCAGGGAAGACACACACACACACACACACACACACACACACACACACACAAATGTAGTTTTCCGTATTTATTTTTTGGCGTTGAAATTGCTTTGTGACGTAATGCACCACATTCTCATTCATGTCTTGAAACCTTTGCATCAAGGTTAACCGGGTGATGCGGCTTTTATAGTTCCGCCCGTCATTCACTTTCTGTGAACCTGCAAAAAGACGGGGCCAAGCCCGAACGGGATTAGCAAACCTCTTCGTGGTCATCGAATCAACTTTATTTTTATAGCACATTTCATACGCAAGCCAACTCAATGTGCTTCACGCAACCAAAAGCCCATCACTGAAAAGCATTTGACAAACAGAACAGCTCGAGACGGTCAAAGGCAAAGCAGAGAGACCAAAAAAGCTTTTTGAAATTACTCAAAAGACCAAATAGTGAAATTTATTATCACCCTTTGAGGGATAGCGGTTACTACAGTGGACAGCTTATCAGGTTATCAGGCTACAGGTTATTATTTGTGCATAAAAGGGTTAAAAATGCTTTTAAAAAAGGAATGTGGAAGAAAAAAAAACTGAAAATATTTAGGGCTGATTAAACTTCTCCATTTGTGTGCAGCATAACAGCTAAATGCCGCTTCACCGTGTTTGCTTTGAAACTTGGGCTCCACTACTCGACCCGATTTTGCAGATCTCAAAGCCCTACGGGGTTTCTGTTCAATTAGCATTTCCTTCATCATGCTGCCTGGTTCATTATTGATAAGGTCGGACTTTACGGTTCTCCCACTAGTGACTCAAATGGCAGTAAATGGCTTCTTTCTTGGCCCATGTGTCAACCTTTAACAGCCAACAAGCTAAGAAACGAACTGCAGCTCATTTGAACCCTAATCTCACACTATTCACCCGTGACTTTGCCAATCAGAAGATTTACTCAAAGGTTTGCTGGTCATCATACACCAAAGTCCGACGTTGTATCAAAGACCTGTGGACTCAGCATGTTTTGATTAAGATCCCTTTGGAGGCTAAAAGCAATTACTGTAATCAGATAGGAGTATGCCGGCCTCCCGAATGGTAGGGAAAACATTAGCCAAGGTTGACTGGGCCGTCCGAAAAGGCTTGATTTTCTCACACCTCTCCTCAACTCGGCCTTGACATTTTACAGCCTCAAAGAATGCTGGATGAGAGGAATGAATGTTTTGTTTTTTTCTCTGGGGGCACCTCCAGCTTATCTAATTTTAATACAGTAGTTCCTATAGTTTGGGAATTTTCATTTTATTACGTTTTGTCTTTTATTTTTTTTTAAGTTACTTTTGTTTAGTTTTCAGAGCAAATATGTTAAGTTTTTTTTTTTTTTTTTTGGTTTTTTTCCCCCCCAATATGCTTTCTTTTAGTTTTTCTTCGTTTTAGTATTAGATTTCGTTTTTCTAAAAAATTAAAAAAAAAAAGAATTTCTTGTGTGCAAGCGTTGCAAAAGAAAACATCACGGTCAATATTGCGTGGTCACAAAAAAAAAAAAGACTTGGAAGTACAATAAGTGCAGTGACTGATCCTGTGATGGTCTTAAATCAAGTGAGGATGGTTCTCGCTTTCCATCCCTTGTTTGCCAAGTTGCCAACTTCTAAAGTGGCTTGCATTCCTGTCGGGAAGTGTTTCACACCTATCACTACAAGTCATTTACCCACCTGCTTTTGTCAGAGTCAAATTGGAGACCAGATGGATGGATGCACTTAAAGAAAGTAAAACGCCACTGCTCTGTATTAAATACACTTACATTCGGAATAAAACAGCGGCCTCGGTGCACATCACATTGGCGTACATCCTCAGTACAGGTATTGTTTCAAGGTGTTGTTGTCTTTGGCAGCACAGACAGTTTTCGGCGTCTACTCCTGTTATTGCAAAATGGTGAAAAGAAAGAGGTGTAATTTCTCTGGGAAGGTAGAAAAAAAAAACAAGCAAGCAAGAAGGCAGGCAAGCAGCGGTGTGGTGGAATAGAGCGTGGTCATAGTGGCCCCTGGCAGCTGCAGTTATTTATAACACTCGCAAGCTGACCTCCGAGTCGCCTGGTGTCCGCCGGGAACGGCCGCAGTTAACTGGCTGCCGTACACCTGCAGTAACATAACATGGCAATGAGGGCTAGCATTATTACACTCTTATTACATTGTTATTACACTGCCATGGCTTAAAAAGGGTTTGAGTGGAGCTGAAAGGCACTTACCTGGCTCCTCTACACCTCCAGGAACACAACATGGTGCTGATATCTTTGTGCGGTGTAGCGTGAGGGTCACGCAACTGTTCTTACACAATGGCATTTTGGGGGGTCTTGCATTTTGATAGGTTTGCTGCTTTTTTTTGTTTCATAGCATTTCATCTCAAGTGGACGCAGTCAGGTTGACGCTGGCCTCCTGTGTTGCAGGGGCGTGGTGCGAGTGGACATTAATCTCCAGGATGTTGATATCGACCAGTGCGCCACTGATGGCTGGTTTGCTGGAACCCACGGCTGCAACCTGACCACTATGGAGGTAAGCGTGCACGTGCGCGTGTGCATGCGCGTAACAGACGGAACATTGATCCTCGCTCTCTCTCTGAAAGCAGAACCTTGGCAAACACACACACACACACATACACACACACACACACACACACACACACACACTCAGTCCCCGCTCCACTAAATGACACCGAGGCGGTAAAACCCGAGAAGTGTCCGGATCGTTCTTCCTGCGCGATCCCATTACACGCCAAATGCCACTTAAACAAACACTATCAGCTGTCTCATACATGCGTGTGAATACCTCGTTCGAATCCAAGTCGGCCTTCTGGTTCAAGACATTTTCATGATGATATGGGTGGCTAAATCTCAGGTGGCACACTTAAACAAACCTTACTTGCCCTTTCTTGACACAGTAAGATGTATTAACGATTGCGATAAAAGTAAAGGTAAAAATAGCAAACTTATGATCTTGCAACAGACATCAATAGTCATGCTCAAAAATGTCAGTTGTAAAATTAACCAAGAGCCGTTGCTTTCTTTAGGCGTAAAAAGCAGGATTAAAAAGGATTTGACATTCAGAGTTTGATCTACTTTGACACTGCAAATTTGCAGTGTCAAACACAATACTCACTCGCCTTTTAGTGGCCGACAGTGGAATTACACCCAAAATTAAATGGGAGGGAGAGCAAAAACAGTAAAACTCCGTCCAACCATTTACAGATTTTTCCCTAATAGCGAATTGGCGACACGCCATTTTGTTTTCATGATATATGCACATCCTCGCAATCGCTCCTCTTTTCCGTCCAATCTGCCGCGCCGTGATTCGAGACTGGAGATTTTCGGCCTCGCTGTAGATCAGATGCTTCATAATGCATGCGATGTGATGGATTGCAGCGAGCCCCCTTTCAATAATTCATCACCCACCCCTTTGTCTGAGTACTTCCACCTCTCTGTGGACAGTCAATGACAGAGCCGTGCGCGTGTGGACAGTCCAAAAAAAAAAAAAGAAAAGAAGAAAAGGAAGTAGATTGTGCGCCAGAGTGTCAGGAGTCTGCTTTGCTTACAGCCGGCGTGGTGAAAGGCGTCGCGCTTGCGAGGCGAGACGCGTCTTGCGGCGCCTGACAGCTTCAAAATGCTGAACGCGCTCGTTAGCGTTGGATCTGCTCCCGCAACATGCTCAATATGACTCTCAACTAGAAGTGGGAGTATTTAGTCATATTTACGGACATGATAACAATATTATCCAAGTTCATTTGATTTTTTAAATTTTTTTGTTGAATATGAAGGTGAATGCTAGCTTAGTTTTTCATGGCTAGGGTCGTTTGTAGCTAGGTAGCTGCTCGGTGGTAGCGAACTCAGTTAACACAATTAGCGCCACTTTGGAAAATGGTGAACAATGATTCCAAAATAAAAGGGGTCAAGCTGATTAATGTCACTCCCCATTTAAGTTTCCTCTCAAACTAAACGTAAAACTCAAACAATGACACCTTATGTATTTACACATAGCTTAGCCTTTCGTCCACTGGCTTAATGCTAATGCTAACACATAATGGAACGCGCATCTATGACCTTTTAAGCATCTGATATTTGAACCGAAGTGGTTCAGCGCTGTAACAGTACTCACACTCATTATTACGCAATGTTTTTATAAAGTATAATATTATATTGGGGGTGGGGGCTGGAAAAGATGAACGGCATTTCTTTTCATTTCAATGGGAATTGTCGATTTATTTTTATTGCTACAAAACATAAGTCGATTGGGTGTCAAGTAGCACAATCAATAAAGCACAAATGCTGTACTGTAAACACATCGAGGACTAAAACTGCAGTTTTAGCGGCCATCCCACCCCGTAACACGAAAACAAATCGGCACAAGGCGACCCAGGGCACCTCGTGTCTTCGCTTTCTTTTGCGGGATTTACATCTTATTGTCTTTGCGTCTTTGTAACCTCTGCCGGCTGCTTCCTTTAACTCGATAAGAACACAAACGACGCCTGCTCGGTTTTTTTTTTTGTTGGGGGTTTTTTGCCTTTATCCGCACAGCCAACAGAACACACGCAGTCACACACGCATGCACGACAAACTTGCTATCATTGACTTTAGCGTATCGAGAATGCAGAGATTTTGATCCCAATTGTGCCCCGTCATTACCCATTTTTAGCACTCAGCCTGGAACACGAGGTCCTTGTTACCTAACGTGCTAAATTTAGATTTAGCCAGTAATTTATTCCAGAAGACGGAAATAAATTCTATTTATAGGATGTTTTTTATTATTTATTTATTTATTTATTTTTTTTACACACCAGTAGACAACCCGACGAACTGTCTGCATCTTGGCTGCTTCAATCCAACAAATATGATCGCTTTCCTTCATATCTGACTCAAAGAACATGCCTGTGACAAGTATGTTTACATGTTTTCTCAATTGAAATGAAGGGAAATGCCATTAATCTGTGACAACCCATCAAATATGCTGGTGTCTGTGTGGTTTACGAAAACATGTCCGACCTTTTGCCTTGTTAGCATTAAGCTAAGCGAACTTTCCAAATGTAGAGCTATGCGGTTGTTTTATTGCATCACATAACCCTTTCGGCGACGACGGTCACTACAGTGGACATCTTATCATGTTATCAGGTTTCAGGGTGCATGAAAGGGTTAAGTTACGTATGTTTTTTTTTTTTTTTTTTTTTTTAACATCATAATGTCCTGGTCAAGTCTTCATTTTTGCTCTGTTAGCTTCGCAACATTAGCCCTGCAAACGTCTGTGTGTGTGTGTGTGCGCATGTGTGTGTTTTGTCACTCTCCAACAGTGGAGTATTCCCTCGTCATTTATTCGGCAAAAATCTGCGCAGCCCGCCAGTGCCTTTGCGAGATACAGTAAATATATTCTTTTTGCCGTCTGGGGAATTTCCCACTGCACAAACAGGATGGCAGGGGCCGCCATTCCCGAAAGGGAGTCAATAGCGCTTTGACGCTAGGCCGCAGCCTTGTGCACATGTGGCAAAAGTACTTCCACTTTTTACTTCGGTTGATGTACGGCTACTTGTGTAAAAGTCAGTCTCAGTCACAGATAGAATGCGGCACTGGATTATCCACGCTGTTCACATCATCCATGCCTGAAAAAAAAATCCTCACGTTGGCTGATGTTCAAATCAAGCTCGGTATCAGCGGGAATTATTATTTCACACACCCTCCCCCCCACATTACCAAAGTACGGTGTTAGTGCGATGTGTGTGTGTGTGTGTGTGTGTGTGTGTCTGTGTGTGTGCGTGTGCGCATCTAATGAGGTGTCATGAGAAGACCTCCTGTATGCTGCTACTGCACGGTTTACCAGAACATGTACACCCCCTTTAAAATAAACACCAGTTAATTTCCCTAGTGCCTATATGCACATCCTGAGCTGGCACTTCACAGGTTGCGTACACACACAAAACACACGCGCACACACACACACGTTCTCCATTTCACCTCTTTTTGTGTGTGCTGTCATGCCTGCTGTAATTAATGCAAGATCCTCAGGGTTTGTGTGGAAGATTACAAATATCTACAGAGGCCTATTAGAGCTTGATTAGCTGCTGTGCCAGACATACACTTCAAAAAAGTCGTGACATGTTTTTTGAAAAAATTCTGATTATTTTTAATTTATTTTGATGGGGTGTGCATGTGGACATACAGTAACATCGGGATTTTACGTCATGTGGACACTAAAAAACACGAAGAGTTGACTTAAGTCTTTGTGTGCGTGGAATTGATGGACAGCAAAGCAAGGCATTGTCTGACTGGTGCATTCTGGGAAATGTGGTCATAATTCTTTCGGTGAACAATATTTCTGCTGAAATAGAGCTTGTGTGACAGCATGAAGCACTCGGATAAAAACACACTCACTCGCAGTCTCACACACAAACACACACACACAGAAATGCACGTACACGTCGCCATGGCAACCCGCGAATCCGTGCCGGTTTTGATTGACAGCCGCCACAGCTGGGATGCAGACGAGGGCGCCGCGAGTGCGACCGAGCTGCCATTTTAAATTTTTCGACAACCCCGTAGCTTGAAACAAGGGTGTCAAAATGTTAGCAAGCGCTCGTGCAAACATGTTAATTGAATGCAAACGCAGTCCGTGTCCTAGCTCGTTATTCTTCATCATGTATGGACTTAATGAACAATATGTTAATGCGTGGCTCTCAGAATAATATCACTTGCTTGCTATCAACAGAAACCCATCGTATCTAATTAACAGCGCTGTGTGCCGCCCACTAAAAAGTAGGTCACTGCCTGCGTCGCACGTATCCTACCGGTAGCGCCTTACTATTAGGATGACCGGTATTATTATTGCTATTGTTATATTTACGTTTTTTTTTTTTGGGGGGGGGGGGCATAATTAAAACATGGCCCACATTAGAAGGTTAAGAGATTTTTTTTTTTAATTGTCATGGAATTTTTTTTCTTTTTAAAAAATGTTATGATCTATTACACAATTGTTTCGAACTTAAATTACTTACAATGTATCACCTTTAATTTTTTTATTTTTTTTTTTACAAATAAAACGAAGCAGATGGGGTGCGGATCCCACAAACGCAGACTCAGACAAACTATAAAACAAAAATATTGATAGAAAGACGAACGACCGACCAAGTATAAACAGAAATCGTTAAGTTAACCAACACGTAATGCGGATTGGCGCCACCTGTGGGACTGGAGTAGTACATTATTGTGAGAATTTCTGTTTCTCAAACGCACTTTCTGAAATCATGGTTTGGGCTTGGTGATTGCCTGCACGCAGAAAGAAGTCAGAAGTTCCTCTCAAGATGTCCGTTTTGCTGCGAAGCGACGGCCGAAGATGATCGCGGTGTCTCATGAGAAATAAGAGCAATGGCTCTCATGCAAATGAGCCGTTTCTTAAATTAGATATGAGTTATGGCTTGTAATTTGGCGGCTGATGCAGCGGAGTCAGGCGAGGACAAACCCAGAGTGCGTCTCTTGTGTTTTGCCAGCGGTGCTGAAATCACACGGAAGAGGCTGTGCTCATTTATTATGGCCCGAGACAAAGTTAAATTACTTCACCTTTTTGTCCGTCATTTAATCCCTTCTTCCGGTCTCTCATTGACCTAAATAGTGACCTAAATTACCTTAATTGTGGAATTTCCGCAATGGAATAAGAATTTCTTGAGAAGAGACTGCCTTTCATAAATAAAGTTCCGCGTGGCCTAAGAATTAGACACTTCTGTCATCAAAGCAGTTTGTGGCATAACAATCGTACGTTTGTGTCGTCAAGACAATTACTCTCACATTTGTCCGGCTTGAAAATCTCACACTTGTTTTATCAGGGCGATGGTTCTCGAAGCAATTTGTGAGTCAACAATCACACTCTCGTGTCGTCAAAACAATCACTCTCAAATCTTATGCGTCATAACAAACTCAATAGTGGAGAATATTGCTCTCATAAAAATTTGTGACATGACAATCACGCACCCTTGTGCTGCTCTCAAAATGGTGGCATAACAACCACCCTTGCAAGCTACTTTATGTGCGGCAAGTGGATATCACACGTTGCCAAGACAATCGCTGTCAAAGCTGTGTGGCATAACAATCACATGATCATGTACAGTATGTAGCCTTGTGAGGAACACAGGGAAAGTAGTCATGGTAGCAAATCATAAAAAGAATATCAATTTAATAAATGGAGCTGACGGAAGAAGAGAAACATTTACAACATCCATAATTATTTTACAGAATTATGATTATTATTATTTTTTCTAAATATTTTATTTGTGCTTTGCAGTGCTTGCCGACGCCTGGCCACGGCTTCGTCCTGGACAAGTACAAGTGTCACTGCAAAAAAGGCTTCTACCACCCCGACCGATTGGCCGTCACTGGCTTTACAAGTAAGTCCGCTGGCGTACTCCAAATGTGCTCACCTGCGCCCCCTGTAAGACAAAAAAAAAAATAGCTGCCTTGTAAGCGTAGACTCTTTGAAGGTCTCGGTGAATTAATCTTTTATCATTTATATATTCAGCATCTCATCATCATCTTTACTGAGCTAACATTTGTGGTCCTTGTTCGGTGTGCGTCCTCACACGGTCGTGGCCTAAGAGAGCCCCGTTGTCTCGCCGTGTCACCGCATGCCGATTCCACAATATCGGCCCTTGTTCACACAAGCCTTTCCATCCCTCTTCTTAACCCCATCCAACCTGCGAGTGTCTTCCTCCCCCAGGGGCTGGCGGGCCAAACGTGGGCGAGTCACCCTCCAGCGACTGCCTGCCGTGCCGGCCGGGCTGCGCCTACTGCAAGGACGACACGCCCTGCGCGGCCCATGAGGACGAAACGCTGCGCACCGCCGTCATCTCCTTCCAAAGCCTCTGCATCCTGGTGGTCTTCGTCGGCATGGTGCTGGTGTACCACTTCCGAAGGAACAAGGTAACGCGGTTCACGTGTTAAGAGTTGACACATCTCCCATGTCGCAAAAATGTGAATTTGTGCACGTTTGCGACTCATAAATGAGACAGCGTGCGCTTCGTTTGTACGCAGAGTATCCGAGCGTCGGGGCTCGTCCTGCTGGAGGCCATCTTGTGCGGAACGCTGCTTCTCTATTTCCCGGTAAAGCCTCTCTTCACACACGTTCTTGCAAATCTTTTTCTATGTGTGCACACGTGTGTGATTACAAGAAATCTTTCAAGTTTCGATTGGGTTCACTCAAGGTCAAGATTTGTGGTTACAGTAGAAAAAAAATCCTTGTTGCCGGGCAGATTTCGTCGCGGGCAGATTTCAGGTAGATTTGCTCGGGGCTGTTGGCCTCACTTTACACGCCTTTATCACCAACGCACTTTTTTGAGCGGGACAGGCATCCAAACACACCGATACAAAATGAAAACACTCGCAAGGAGCATGGAGTAGACATTAGAATTCCGAGGTGATGTCACTGCTTTTGAGCGCTGTATTTGTGTGACGGCGACCCAGGCAACTTACTGAGATGCAACTCAAAGTTCCACATGTGAACGTGCCGGGTTACAAAACAGTCTCTGTAAATTAGCTTTTGGGCAGCTGCATGGCGCTGACATACGCAGGCCTTTCGCAGCTAAGGTGTGTGCGTGTTCGTGTGTGTGACGAAGTGGCAGTTGGCCGCCCGCTAAGCGCACACATAGTTGGCCCGTGAAGGCGGCAGCCTGTCGGGACGACCATCTGTTGAGAAGGTGCTCATGCTGCTTCAGATGCTCACTTTTTTTTTTTGTCGTTGTTTTTTTCCCCACTTTGAGACATTTCGGAAGATGCTTGCAACTTACAGCGCCGGTGATTGCTGACCAATTAGAACCGGCGACAGTTCGTTTGCAATCAACAGGGGTGATTTTGATCTTCCGCAATATCATAATGCCTTTTCTAATATTTTGACGCTATCGTGCAGCTCAGTAACCAAAATATGACTATTACTGGGACTTATGTAATTGGGGTCCTTCTCTGCCTCTTCTTTTGTCTTTAATCATGTCTTTCAGTGTTGCTCAGTGCTGCCGGGCATGTTCTGGTGCAATGTGGTACTACATTGATAGCACGTAACTTGAGATTTTGACTTGCCTGTATACTGTAAAACCCCATGAAAAAAAAAATCGGTCTGCAATATAGCCTGGGAACACCGTGTAGGCAATATAAATGAGAACAAGGCATTTGGACCCGCAGTGTATGATTGGCTGAGGAAGAGTGGAATGGAGGGGTACGGATGGGGGGGGTGTCCTGTGTGTAAAGCCGCTGCAGTGATGATGGCGCCCACAGCTAAAAATAGACGCTTACAAATGATGGAACAAAAGGCCGAATCGTCAATTTCTGCAGCGTTTAGTCAGGTAATGCAAGCTAGGCACAGGTAACCGGCTGTGATCTGGAGAACAAGGTAAAGAAAAGGGGATTGGGGAGGGGGGGGGGGGAAATAAGCGCATCTCCTCATATGCAGCAATGATGCAGAGATTGATCTCTCCGCCCCGCCCGCAGCGTTTCCACGTCGCGAATCCCACAAGAGACTCAGTCGGCTGCCATGTTGAGATGCATCGCTGCCAGTCTAAAAATAGACGCCCGCCGACGCTTCTATTTGCAATAATTCCGCTCTTATTTAACAGCTGGAGACACATTACATCCTGTTCCCGTGGCTTTATGAAGCACACGGATTTTTTTTTTTTCCTTCCCCCAGGATTGTGTCTCATCCAACCAATAACTTGCCGCCCCCGCCCCCCAAGATGGTGTAGGATACACGAGGAGCTATTTGTGTCTGACTTGAAAATGAGATCCTCTTCTTGTGTTAGTTTGTTGCATTTCGTATCAGCATTCCTTTTTTTTTTTGTTTTTTTGGGAATCCACAAGGTGGCTAAAAAAACTGTTCCAGTGAACACTTACTATATCGTAGTTCTTATGTCCATACATGGTCAATTTCCTATTTTTTCACAAACCAGTACTATTGGTTTAAAGCACAGGTGTCAAAGTCAAGGCCCGGGGGCCAGATCTGGTCCACCACATCATTTTCTGTGGCCCGCGAAAGCCAATCAAACATGTTGACTTACATGATGCTTGCTAAAATCTCTCCCAAAAATGTAAAATTCTTTGATGTACTAAATAATAATATTTATCATAATATTTCTTGTTACGAAACCCCTTATGACAGTAACTTAAACAACAGTGGAATAAACCGTATGCTTCCAGTCATAACGGCCCTCCAAGGGAAACGGTAACAGAAATGCAACCCGCGACAAAAATGAGTTTGACACCCCTGGTTTAAAGTGTTGAGAATAGCGTGAAGACAAAATGGTCCAAAATGCCTCAAGAATCTCGCTGTACTCTTGTAACCCGACAACATTTGGAAAATCGCAGAAAAAAAACAGATTGAGGTGAACTCGCCACCTGCCTTCCCGAGCCCTTGCCTCCGTTTGGTGTTGAAACCGGCATTTTCTTTCATCAACCCACGAGGAGTGTCACGCAGGCGATGGGGAGTGAAGTGAACAGTGGAAGGGAAGGCGTCGGGACCGAGCCGGGTGTAATTTACACTCGGCCCACCTCGGTGGAGGGGGGATGTAGAAACCATTACCTCCTCTCCGGAATGACGCCCCAAGACACCCCGCCCCTCCCGTGTGGCAGCCAGTGTCGGCTTTCATATAAAAATGGATCAATCGCAATTACCCTCCTCCTCTTTTTGTCCCCCCCTCGGCCCCCCGCCACCACTCTTCTTCCTGCCTCCCGCTCGCTCAAACAGGAAGTGCAGGTTAAAGAAGCAAGCCCGGAATGAACAGGCGATGATGAACAGAGGAGGCGGACAACGTCACCTTGTGTATCGAGAAGCCTGTGACTCACAGTCGGTTTTGTCACACGTTGGATTTCAAAGAAAAACAGATGACACATATGCTGCGAAACAGACATTCGTGGTCAAAATAGACAAGAAGTGCAGGTTGGAAGCAAGCCAGGGATGAGCAGAAGATGAAGGATCTCTTGGTCAATTTTTGCTCATCTTTGCCATGGCAATCCACCCCCCCCCCAAAAAAAAAAGTACTCTATTGGGTATAGGTCCCTTGTGCTCATCTCATGTCCTGAAAGTAGACATTTAAAAGAATTAAGACAATGATTGATTTCCATCCAATCTAGTATCCGGCACGAGTATCGAACGCGCTCGCGAGCTTCGATGGCCGATCCGAAAGACGTAACGTGCATTTCAGTTCTATTTGTTGTGTTTCTTCAAATAAGCCGATTGACTTTGCGCTCGTCCAAATCGATGGCAAACGTTGAGCATGCTTCTTTAAAAAAAATAAAAATAAAAAATGTTCCGGTATAAAAAAAGAGCTCGCCAGCTGCCGTCGACGCAGCCGGTTGGCGTGCGTCACGGCGACGTCCCCGGTGGCCGTTTCTCAGCATGCAGCCAGCTGAGGGCTGATAGAAAACGTGGCGAGCGGTGAGCGGCAGCTGCAAATGACAGATGCCTGTTTGGATGTTTGTGTCACCGTCGCTTGGTCACTAACGTTGATGCTACTGTGCCAATGTTGAGATCGTGACAGATTTGAATTGGTTGAATGCTAAATGGGAAATATGCACTCTAAAGCTATTTAGCCTGCAGCTAATGCTATCGTTAAAAGAACGGACAATACTCCATACGCATTCCCCAACGGCGCTCCATCCCCAATACTCGACGGCACTTAGTATGGATTATTGATGAAAGCCTTGAAAGGACAACATCATCTTGGTCCTCGTCTGTCCCGAAAGATGACCTCCCCCTAGTTGTCATGTCTGTCTTGGTTTTTGTTCTAGCCCCAGCTGGAGTGGAGGGCGTTTCCCTCCAGCAGGCTCAACTGTTTCTTGTTCCCACTGAAAGCCTGGCCCAGTATTTAAGGACTGCCAAGCTGCCTCTTCTCTGTCGGATTATTGACCTCGCTTTCTGTTTCGAACCGAACACCGAGGACGCTCGGCGGGTGCTTGAGCGGTTATGTCATGCTGTCTGATCAGTGCTCCAATAGTAGTGTTTAGCCTTTTGACTACTTTGCCTTTGCTGAACTGAACAACTGAAGACGAAAAAAATAATTGCATGGGAAACTACTCTGATAATTGTACCCAAAACGTTACTCAAGTACCACGTTACTACCGGCATGTTGTTTTTTTTTATTTCCTCTTTAAAGGGGAGTGACGACTTTTTCTCCCCTGCTGCCTTTTCCCTCGTCTCATTCTCGCACTCCCCGCAAAGATGAAAATGCGTCAGCAAGCTGCCGAGCGCCAAACGGGCCCCCGCCAATCTCTCCTGTGCCGTGAGGAAAGCCCAGCACGCTGCCGTATATATTCAGGAGCATCCCTAAAACGTCTGAAACGGAGTCGAAGTACCATTCGCAAAGTCACGCTCGAGCGCTGCGTGTGAAGTCCACATCCGCATTGTTTAGACTTGTGCTTGTCCCTTAAATGACTCCGACCGACTTCAAATCCACATTTCGGGTCCCGCCTGCGGGAATCTATTAATGCCTCAGCTAATCCGATTAACAATCCCACGGGGGGAAATCTCAGCACATCTGCAGCGCAATGATAATCATTACCATTTTTAAAAATAAATAAATCAATTTTGATGCCTTTGTAATGCCCCCGGTGTGTTATTTGTTATCAGGACCCCTTGGAAGTGCATGTGAGGGGCGACGTTTTGAACCCTCACTTCTGTTACCAAATGTTTCCCAAGCTACTGAAAGACTGAATCGTGAACTTTTTACATTGTATTGCACCACTGATCACGTTACCTCTGCCCGATGACTCTACGCATTGTCGTCTCATGGCTCTCATTGGGTGGTACTCCTGCACAATGGCACGCTTACATTACGGAAAGTCAAACTGTAATGAAATAACGATTCAATTCCAAAATGTAATACGTTGTATTTTACTGCGTGACCTCAAAAGGCATAGCGTAAAGAGCATCACCGCAACATGAGGAGGACTTTTTGTGTCAGCCTTAGTTGTTCTGAGTCCCACTCTGCCTCACTGTCGTATGGTGTTCCACTGGGTTCAATCTTGGGGCCCTTGCTGTTTTCATTGTATTTTGGGGTCCACCTTAAGAAAGCATGGTATTTCTTTTCACGACTATGCGGATGACAGTCAGCCTACAGGTTCCGAATAATCACTTTTTCTCTTTTGGCTTGTGCTTCCAGGTGGGGATCCTCTACTTCCAGCCCAGTGTGTTCCGCTGCATCCTGCTGCGCTGGGTTCGACTGCTGGGCTTCGCCACCGTCTACGGAACGCTCACCCTCAAGTTGTACAGGTAACACACGCGACGCAACAAGTGACCTCACTGAGGTTTTTCTTCATCTGTGGGACTTTTTGGGTGATGAAGAGAAAGAGTCACGGGTGTGCTGGAGCCTATCACAGCTGTCTTGAGGAAGGCCAGATTCGAACACATGACCTCTGCACTGCGAGGCGGACATACCGAACCAGTCGTCCACCGTGCTGCGCTGTACAGAAAACCTTTAGCGGACAATATATTACATGGATCCATTTTTCATGGGGGAGGGAGGACACAGTGAGTGAGGAGGGGGCTCATTAGCGCCAGCCGATGCTGCTTTATCAATGCGCGTGAAGGGCACCGACTAATAATAGCAGCGTGTGTGTGTGCGTGTGTTTGTTATTGAATGATGATGCCTTTGGAAATCATCATGTCTCTTATTTTATTGACACTCATCCTTAAAAGCCGCCGTCGTCTGGAGCAGCGCGTTGTTGTGAAATGACAACCCGTTACAAATGATTTCAAACTCAAAAGTGACACAGCCGTGATGCCCTTTTCTAACAGATGCGGAAGAAGGTCTGCCCTCTCCAAAATTATTCCAACTCTTTCCTGCCTTAGCCTCACCCACATTGGAGCGCACCGTAAACCAAACAATATGTCGGTATTTTTTAATTTTAGGCCACCGAGGCTCCCATACAGGGACCTAACGAAAGCAAACCGCTCTGTGTGCAGGGTCCTGAAGGTTTTCTTGTCGCGCACGGCTCAGAGGATTCCCTACATGACCAGCTGGCGGGTTCTGCGTCTGCTGGCCATCATCCTCCTGGTAGTCTGCTGGTTCCTGGTAGCCTGGACGTCGGCCGTGTGCCAAGTCGCCGACAGGAAGTTGGCGCTGATCGACGTTGGCTACACGCCCAACGGGCTGCAGTTCAGCATGTGCCTGCTGGATCGATGGGACTACATGATGGCCGTCGGTACGACAAGTACTTTGATTCCTTGTCTGTTTATCAAATATATTTTCATAAAAGGGAATTATCTATATCAGAAACAGGAAGTTTGAACAGAAATACTGGGACACTCGCAAGAAGTTCCAACAAAAGTATTGGGACACCCACCGTCATCTCCGACAAATACATTGGGGCGTTGACTGGAAGCTGGGACAAAATTTACTGCGATGCCCAAAGGAAATGACGTCAATGTGGCATCCGTGCAAAAGTATTGAGACACCTACAGGGAGTAGTCCAGGAAAATCTAAAAGAGTTGAGAAGTAAAAAATGGTGCTGATCCAGTGGATGATTTGCATATGGTTTTTACATTTGCTGACTCAAGCAACATGAATAAAAGGCTTTTGTCTCACTCGAAAAACAGATAGAACCCCGCAGCACCCCTACCAGTGTGTGTATGTGTGTTTCTTTGTGCATGCATGTACACCTTAATAAGTACGCATGGGGGTTACATCTGACGCTCATAAATTACACACTCACACACTCGCCATAAATCTCTCCCATTTCGTAAACAGCGCACCTGCGTCGGTTTGTTCCTTTTATTCCCACCCGAAAAGATTGACGATGACGCCGCTAAAGTGCGACGTCAGCGACACTGTGTCCATTTCGTCTGAATTCGTTTCACTCTGCATAATCTCCATCTGCCTTGCACACACTCATACGTCTCGATGACAGTCTCAGACCAGGACATTTATTGCGAGTGCAACTTTGTTGTGCAAGTCAGATGTTCTTTCATGGCAACAGGGGTTGCGAGATTACCGGAATTTTCAAAGTTTGGAAACTTTCCACGGGATTTGACCAGAAATGTTCCCAGCACCTTTGCAACCGTATGCGAGACATTTCAGCCATTTTCTTTGCTGGTGTGTGTCTCAATATTTTTGTCCGCAATGCATGGGAAGGAGTTAATTTGCATAAGTGATGCGATCCTTTTCTGGCATTCAGCCGAGTTCCTGTTCCTGCTATGGGCGGTGTACCTGTGCTACGCTGTGAGGACGGTGCCGTCCGCCTTCCACGAGCCTCGCTACATGGCCATCGCCGTCCACAACGAGCTCGTCCTGTCGGCCATCTTCTACGTTATCAGGTAAATCGGATTGTTGGTTAGGACCAGGAATGAACAATTAATCGCTTCAACTGTCTTTTGTATTTAAGGATTATTTGCATTTATTTTAGCGTAAGCCTAACCTATAATACCAAATAAATGTACCGTATTTTCCGCACGGTAAGGCACACCTAAAAGCATTTAATTTTCTCACAAGCCGACAGTGCCATTCATTCAAGGTGCGCCTTATACTCGGAAGCGCCTTATAGTGCGGAAAATACGGTACATGTAATTAATCAGATATTATTTATTGTAAAACAGATACATTAATTGCCTTTGTTTATGAAATAAAAATAATGGGAAGAGGACTTTGAAAAAAAATGACATTAAATCACAATCGCAAGGGTCCATTGCTGTCTGAATTAGGAATCCGATCAGACTGACATGGCAACACAGTGAAGCTGAAATCTGATTGGACAAAAAAAAAAAAATCCACATACATGTACAGGAAACAGTGCAGCCAAGAGAAACGTTATCATATGAAGACATTAGACTGTTGGGAATAAATGAATACAATTTCATGGACCAAATACTGCGGTGCGCCTTGAGGTGATTGATGCAAAAAAAAAAAAAAAAAAAATGCATGCATGGCATCTTGTGAGGCTTGAAGCCCGCCACACTGCAAGAGAATAGCTTCCATAGGAGACTCGGGCTAAATTGGAACGGTGTGTTGACTGTGACTCGCTGCCACAAGGGAGCAGGGCCCTATGCAGTATACGTCGGGGCTTGTGAGAAGGCAATCCGGCCTCCATTTGCACCTCCTGTGGGAGCCTGGGGGTGGCCCGCTAAATCTGGTCGCCTCTTGTTAGCCCGCCATCATGTTCAGGTGGGAGGGCTGTAAAAAAAATAAAATAAAATTTAAAAAAAAACAGGCAGAGAGGAGACGACGGTGCTGGCAACTTGAAATGAAAAAGAAAACACGCTTGGGCATTCATTCGCCGCACGAGCTGCTCATTAGCCTCCCGCTTGAGTGAATTAGGAACAAAAATTGAGAAATGAAGGTACTCGAAAGCCCACCAAGGTTCATACAGTCAACAAAAGAGACCGTTATAGGACACGCCCCTGAATGAGTTTCATCCATTTTGGAAGACAGCTGTAATTTAGGCTCTTCTGCTTCCTGTTTCCTACTTCCTGCCCCGACAGGTTCACGCTGGCTCCGGAGCTTCATCCCGACTGGATGCTTCTGCTCTTCTTCACGCACACGCACCTGACCGTTACGGTCACACTGGGCCTGCTGCTCATTCCCAAGGTTGGTTTACGTCACATTACATCGGCACAGGTGTCAAAGTCAAGGCCTGGGGGCCAGATCTGGCCCGCCACATCATTTTATGTGGCCCGCAAAAGGAATCCAAGCATGTCAAATTTCATGATGCTTACTCAAGTCTGAACCAAAATTTCTAATTGTGATATGTAATCCACAATTAACAGTCATTATTCTTCACTTCTGATTTGAAAACTAGTTTGTTGTGCGCGGTGTATGTAATATGTGGAGGTGATTAAACATTTATATGGTTTCCCAAAATTCATAACGGCCCTCCAAGGCAAACCGTAACTACAATGTGGGCTGCGACAAAAATGAGTTTGACACCCTTGCCTTATGGGATAGCTTGTTGTTTATACTATGTGATGCTATGCTATGCTATGCTATGCTAAGCAAAGAAGTATCAAAAATAATCCAGTTTGGGTCAAAAATGGCCCTATCCATTATTTGGGACAATTTGACCCAACGTTTTAGGTTGTTTTCCAAAACAACACAGATAATTGGGGTCATTTTGTCGTAGACAAAAGAATTTGGGTGAAAAATGGACCTATCCACTACTTGACCCAATTTTTTGAGTCAAATTATCTGAAGAAATGGATCAGCCCGTTTTTTTACCCAAATCCACTGACAGGAAAAAAAATATACATCTATATCATTTTGTTTTTATTTATTTTTTGTTTGTTTTGTTTTCTTGGAGTAGACTGCAAAAATGAACCGGCAATCCACAAGAATAATATGATGGATTTTTTTTTTCCCCACCCCATGTGAGATGCTCATCCAAACTGTTATCTTTTCGACCGTGTGCGCACAGTTCCTGTTCGCTGGCACGCAAATGCGAGACGACATTGCCTCGGAGGCGTACGAGGACGAGCTGGACATGGGTCGCTCGGGCTCCTACCTAAACAGCAGCATCACGTCGGCGTGGAGCGAACACAGCCTGGACCCCGAAGACATTCGGGTGAGCTTTGGGGGCGCGTCGCCTTGACCTTTTTGCCCTTCCGCTGCTGCTCTTGACTGTTTCTAACCTTGCCTGTGCGCTCCCGCAGCAGTACTGAGCCATGGCAGTTTTTTATTATTGCAGACGCCAGAGGAAACGGGCCCTCTCAGTTCTATTAATGGCTGTGGCGTAAGATCATGCGACAGTCTTTGGGAAAAACGTACCAACGTGAGCAGAGGTTTCTGTTTTTCTGTTAGAGCTGAAGAAGTCTCTCTTGCTAACCTGGTTTAGGATGCACTGAGGTGGGGGCGGAGGGGGGCAGGCTGCAGTCACATGACTTGACTCTTACGTCTGCAATTTTGGGGACCTGGCTAAAAGTTAGGATCGACTTGGTTTGACTTTGACTTGGCCTCCATGAAACGTCGCCTGACCAAACACGACGGAACTGAACAACCGCAAACCAAATTCCAATTGGTGACCTCCCCTGCTGCACACGGAAAAACTGCAACCCCTTGTTGTTCTGTGAATTGCCTTGGCACTGTAACTGCAGTCATCCCTCACCATCTCATTTCACTTTTAGGAACTTCAAATCTTTGATATCATATGTCCAAATTGTATTTATTCATTTATTCTATCGCAAATGGATATTTGTAGACAACACAGCCCATCTTCGCAGTCACATATTCTTTATCCTCTGCAATGCACAAATATGATCACCGCGCCTTAACTGAGGAGTTCTGACCGGCTTCACGTACATCCATCCGTATGTCCACAAAGTCCGTTGAATTTTTATTTTTTTTTTTATTCTACTTCATCATGTCGTCATTATATTTATTCGTCGATTGTATTGCCTAATTTTTGATTTTGTCGTGAAAGATCATGCGATACAACACGGAATTCTAGACCGGCCGTGACGTACCTACGACTTGCACACGTGTGACTTGACTCCCACCTCTGTTTAGCGAGCGACGTCCAAACATAAATGCATATAGACGCCACTGTCTGTTGACGCTCGCTCGATGCCGTTCGCTCCATCGCAGACTTGATCATTCAGGAAGAGAGCTCAGAGGCTGTTTCAGAGCTAACGCTGACTCCACTCGTACGTTTCCTCAGTTGTCCTCAACTGTCGTGTCTTTTTTTTTTTTGTCTTTTAAGCACGCATGCCAAATTCTTTAGTGCATCAATGGAGGACTGTTTGTCGTCACGTGTCATGAACTTGTATCGCATGTGCAGTAGAACGTCTGCTCCCACGCCCCCAACCCCTACCCTCAGTAGATAATACAATGGCACCTTGACTTATGAGTGCCCCAACTTAACTCATTCAGTACCAGCCAATTCTGCACCAAGTCTGAAAAGACGTTTAAAAACGTCTTTGGGAGTGAATGAGTTAAGAGTAGTTGTGACAGGGTTGATTATAATTTGCGTCGACTAAAATGGATGCCTTCGGGCTCGCATTGGGAATGTCGACGGCTGTCACCTTGTTTTCTGAGTTCGGGTCACGTGACATTGTCAATGCGAGCCCGAGGACACTTTGATTCTTCTTCCATAACCGTCTCAGTCGTGAGGGCACAGAAGATGAAAATTTATTAAAAACCATGACGGGTTTTTCTCGGCGGTCGGAACGGATTAATGGCATTTCAGTTCATTCGTTAGCAGCTTGGCCACAGAACAAATTCAACCTGTCAAGTCAAGGTACCACTGTATCTGTTGTTGTGTCAGATTTTCGGAAGCGGCGCCTGACCGCTTTGCTCTCCTGTTGTCCCCTCCGACACGCAGGAGGAGCTGAAGAAACTCTACTCCCAGCTGGAGATTTATAAGAGGAAGAAGATGCTGGCCAACAACCCCCATCTGCAGAAGAAGCGAAGCTCCAAGAAGGGCCTCGGACGCTCCCTGATGAGACGCATCACCGAGATCCCCGAGTCGGTGCACCGCCAGTGCAGCCGTGAGGAAAAGGACGGCGGGGAGCACGGCAGCAATCGGAACAGCATCTGCGTCCTGAAGAAAAACCCCTTCGATCAAATGCACCCCGTCAAACCGGCCAAGGACGAGACCCTGAAAAACAAGGTGTTCTCCTTGAAGAAGTCACACAGTAGCTACGATCACGTCCGAGACCCGAGCGAAGACTCGAGCAGCTCGGCGACGGACAAGACGGAGGTGAGTGCCATGGAAGGCTCCCTGCTGGATGCCCTAATGGGCAAAAAACTGGTCAAGAAAAAATCCCGGGAGAACCTCAACGCTCCCAGCGAGTCCACGGAGTCAGTGCCTCTGGTCTGTAAATCGGCCAGCGCCCACAACCTGCACCGCGACCAGCACACCCG